ACTTTTTATATGGACCAGTATTTAAGCTACCAAAAAGGCTTCTAAAACAAAAAATTAAAATCCATATAAAATGTTAACTTTTTATATGGTTCGGGGAGAGATTTCAATTTCATACTTAAGAGCACATTTGATAAAACTCACAATCTCCTCATGCAGGGCATCCTGTGGCTGCATCTGATGTCGCAGACGCAGTGCCTCCAGGTCCAGGGCATTGATGCCCGATGGCATCGAAATCGAATTCCGCCGCAGTCCGGGGGCGAAGGCCTCTGGTGAGGGCGTGGCCGATTCCGGTTCCGTGTCCTTTTCGTTGATTACTTTCAGCAGCGGGAGCTCCACATTGCGTCGCTCGCTGAGGGACTGCTTCCTGGCCATTGAACCCAGGAATGGTTTCTCCTCCGGCACTTGGGCGCCCCACTCCCGTTCCCGTTCCCGTTCATCCTCATCCGTATCCGCGTCCGCGAAGGCCAATTCCGGATGCTGGCCATTGAGCGCCTGCGCGGCTCCCGATTGCGAGGGCGATTGCGATTGCGATGGCGAGGAGTAAGCCATTTCCAGCGGCTGCGTTCCAGACGCGATCGCGTTCCACTGGCGAATGAAAGGGTTGAGCGCCAACCGGAACCCAAAATCGCCAGCAGAGCGAAAGAGAGCGATAGAGAGAGATGAGAGGGATAGGAGAGGGAGAGGATTCGATTGCCATCGCTGTGTTTACCTTTAATCAGCGCTTATCATCGGTCAGCGATAATCGCACACCGACCAAAAAAGGGTATCAAAATAATCCTATTTTTAGATTGATCAATTATTATTTATATATATATTGTAATAAAAAAAAATCAACTAATGATTTAAACCAAAAAAAAATTCTCTTAGCAAAAGCAAACGTTATAACTTTTGATTTTCGTTTAAAAAATAACAAGCTAATTATAACGACAATCAATAAATTTAAAATGTTAATATTTGTGAAAAAAAATTCACATGTAAATAGAGTTTTTCTTAAAAATTTAAAGACTTTTAAGCTGATTGTTAATTTCAAAAAAAAAATGTCCCTTTATAAAAGACCTTTTTTATAACTAGGAAGGAAGTTGTTTAAGTTTTTTACTAAATTCTAAAAAATATAAACATATTTAAATACATAATGTACAAAGCACTTCCCTCAAAAAAGATTAAACTGTGATGCTTAGCTTAGAAAGGAAGTACACTTCAATAAAAAGTAGATAATTCTTTAGAACTCCATAATTCTTAATTTCAAAGCGTAGTTTTTAATCGCAGTGCACCGGGTACGTAGACATGTCTGATCCACATCCCAACACCCCCCTTGACTGCTTTTTCTCTTTTGTGAAACCTTTCCTGTCGCTGCTGTTTGAACTCCGCAACTGCCCTCTTATTGATTCAGTTAATTAAATTCGCTTCTCAGCCATAAGCCCATTTCGTTGATCGCATTTGTTTGCCTAGCTAATTAGGCGTAATCTCGCCGTGGCTCTCATTCGCACTCGCGACCGCTCCTCCCCGTAGAATTATCGACCTTGTTTCAGCAATAAGCGTACACAACAAACAAAAATCAATCGCAAAATTAATCAACGGACAAAGTCAAGAGCTAAAACTCGTTCGTTCGTCTGCCGATTCGATCAATTCAATCGAGCAACGCTAGCGGTCGGTTTTTTCTTGATAATTACATGTGTTACCTGATAAGGTAAACAAAACCAACCCACCCACCCAGAACCCCCTCACACCCCCCGTCCTTGTTCCTGTCCCCTTTCCACGATAAACATCCCCTTCTGCTCGGAATAATAATACTAATTCGCAATATTGTTTAACAAATTGCACCCATAAATTCTCCCGAAGTGGGCAAATATTTGACGATTGAGCTATATTTATGATTAACGCATTAATAAAGAGAAGAAGAGGAAAAACTGGAATATATAGAAAAGGTGAACGTTTCCGGTTTAGTTAGTTACTTCAAGAAAAATTCTTTTTCATACAAAAAAAATGTTTATAGATTTATATTTTTTTAATTATGATAATCAATTATATATAAATTTGTTGTAGAAACAATGTGACTTGAAAAAACCAAATATTAATTAAATGTAGATTATTACTATTTACTTACTCGAGTTTAAAATACTATAATAGCCAGTGTTCACTGTACCTAAAACGTACAAAGGCAATCAGACAGAATCACATATTTGAGGCGGTAATAAAACGATTTAATGAACCAAAAAAAAACCGCCAGAACCATTTAACTTTTACAGCTCCTGATAAAACCCTGATACAGTGAGGCTTAGAAATAAAACCCCAATCCATCAAATCTAGCGGAGAATACCCTTAACAAAAGATTAAAGTGAAACATATAAATAAGTTGAAATAGGTTTGCAGTAAATGCTATTCAATCAACTTAACATTTTTTTAAGTATTTATCCCCTAACAGGAGTTTGTACTGTACCACGTGAGAAGCCACTAGGCTAGCACTCTACCAACTGATGTAAAAGCGGATTGCAAAAAATCAATTTCGATTGCCATTTAATAATCACTTTTACGCCCTTTTGTAATGCCGTAAAGCGATGCCCGAGTTCAGAATTAATGATTGTTATTAATTAAAATGCAACTCGCGATTCGATGACAAAGTCACATCAAAGTTGGTCAACTCTTGAAATATGTGCGGAAATTTTCAATAAGCCAATAATAACATCATTTGCAGCACTTAACCATGGATTTTTGATGACTCCATACGGATTTTACCACTGATAGTTTTACCAAAATTAAATTTTAACTTCTATAACAAAAAAGAATCCCAGTTAAACAAACCAGTATTATCCAAAGAGTATAATTTAAAAAGATTATGCCATTCTTAGCTGCAAACTATGCAAAAGAAAAGTACTTCGAATAAATAGTTTTATTCGAATACTTTTAGTTTGTTTTTAAAAGATAAAGTAATTCCATTTCACATACTCACAATTTCGACCTGAAACGCTGAGGATGCAGAAGAAATTCTTTGAGTAATTTTGAAAAGGGGAAAAATGCAATTTTTTATTATTATTTTTTCAATAAGTTTGTTAAATTTGTTCATTTAGTTTAGTTGTACACTTAAACGTTTTATGTTTTTTTCCCTGTTCTTATACGCTTTTATTTTTAACCTGTCATTTAGCTTATTTTGCCGAGTTTTGTTGTTGTATTAAATGTGTTAGAAAACATTGATAAATATTTTCGTATTTGTTTTAAGGAATGTATCTTTTTTTATTAGCGTATATATATTCTTCGATATATGTTGCCTCTGTTTTCGCGGTTCCGAGACGCCCAACACCATTGTTTTGCTCAACAGCCACAAGACAGAAAAACAATAATCAAATAAATAACGACAGAGCGGAGTTAGTTGTATAGAATAGTATTATTAATTATTATATGGAATACACACAAATCTAAAATAAGCGCTCGCTACATGTAAATGGCCAAAAAGAGACGAACAAAAAAAAAACAAGAGCAATAATAAGAATAAACATAATTTTAAATTCACATTATTGTAGGACTATAACTAAACATAATAAATACATTACGTGGACTACACACATTAAGATATTAACAAATCCAATACAGATACGAAAGAGATATGGAATCAATTAAATAATATGTAAAATTAATTGTAATAATTGTGTAAATTGTAAATATCACAAGCAGACGTCACTTGCATCGTTGATAAATGTATGCCTATATATGCCATTTCTATAAGTATGCGGGTGTGTAATTATGTTCTGCCTTAAATCGTGTGAAATTGTTTATGTTTTTGTTGTTTTCAATGTGATTTTTGTGGGTTGCCGTCGTGAAAGAAAGCTCACAATTTTCGCAATCTGTGTTCACTATCTCTCTCTCTTTCTTCTGCCCGCCTGCCGTCTCTTTCTAGGTTCGATTTTGAGTTCGGTTTTGAGTTTAGTGGAGTTTTGAGTCTCGTTTTCGCATTTGTTCAATAACTATTAACGTTACCTTAAATTTAACTAACAATTTCTATAGAAAGTTTTCGAATGAGTACAATATTTTCAACATTACATCGATTTAGTTTACTATTAAATGTATATTGTTTCGTTTAGCGTTTGCTTGCGTTTACTCTAGGCAGAATTTTCTGATTTTTGTTTCTGATTTCGGTTTCTTGCGTTCAGTTGAGTTCGTTATAGGCCTTCCTACGTGTACATACATACAAATAAATAAATGACCAATGTCTGTTGATTTGTTTGCTAAACATTATAATTAAAATTGACTTTTTACAATTTATTTTTCATAGATATCCTTTAAAGCCGCTGCTTTCCTATGAGCAAAATATACAAACAAAAACAGAAAAGGTATTTGGAAAATGATGAATTAAATATTACGTTGAGGTTGGCTTAAATATACTCTTCGATATATTTTTGTTGTTGTTTAATAATAATGTATGCATGTCTGTGAGTGGTGTATGTATATTTATATATATATATATATTGTATAATGAGAATCGTCGGTTCTGCTTGATCTAAATTGGTGCCTGTGTTTGCTCTAATGTGCTAAGTGCCGAAAACATTTGAAACATTTTTGTTGCTGCTGTTAACATTTTCCAACTCCGTTCATATCCATATCCACCTCATCTCATCTCATCTCATCTCATCCGCATCCCAAATTGAAGCATTGAGAGCCAAGGCGATTGCAATTGCTTGTACAAATTATATAAATGTATATATATCAGTGCCAAATATACTTTACAATATATATGGGTGGCTTGGGCGAGTCTGCAGGTGCAGCAGTTTGGCAAGCACGAATCTGAGCTCCCAGATTCCAGTGCCTCCAAAAAAACCGACCAGCCGGAATATGGCAAGCTAACCGAAGGAGATGTGGTGGTGTTCTTGGGCTTAGAAGCAGTATAGTGGGTGGTTGGATCCACCTCACTCCACTCCCACTCCACCGACCAACCAACTAACGAACAATGTGCAATGTCTCGGCCCGCCTGGTGATGTTTGGTATGGTGCTGGGCTGCTTAATCTGTACTTCCTGCCGTCGACGGCGCCGCTGCTGCTCCTTCTGCTCCACTGGCTGCTCCACTGGCTCCTTCTGCTCCCCCTGCTCCTCCTGCAACGCCTTCCGCCTTCCCTAGTCGCCGCTGTCGTCCCACTTGCGCTCCTCCATGATGCGGTCAAAGCAGTCCGCAAGGAATGCATGCTGCAGGATGAAAAATAGCATTAATTAAATGCACATCATTTGGGAATGACATAGATTTTGAGCTTTATATAATGCGCAGCTGAGCTCCTTTCGTTTAATTAATGAATCATATGTTTGCGTGTTTATAAAGGAAATTATCTGCATTTGTAATTAAAAGTAAAATACTTTTGTCCAATTAAGTATTTAAGCTGTATTACTAAAGCGTGTTTTTCTAATCGAAGATCTATTATTTGGTAGAGGGAAAACAATACAGTTTGTTTTAAGAGATTCGTTTAAATACAATCCGAGCTTGCTGAATTTTAAAGTGTTAAATACCTTCATTGAACTCTTTTGAATAAAATAATCTCGTATGAGCAAGTAAACAAGAAACTCATTATCAAAAACTATGCTTTAAAGTACCTACAATTAAATTGTATACTAAACTAGAGTTAAGCAGCGCATTATATACAATTTTTGAACAATCCAATTCAACGTACATATGGCGTGTAGACTTTGACCCAACGTGCTGGCTTATCTGGACGATTGTACTGAAAGCAGAACGACATGGACTCCTCGTCGCTCTCGGAGCGCGTGATGCTGTCCCAGGTCAGCTCGACCATTTGCGCCTCCAGTGAGCCATCCTCACGGCAGGCGTGTAGCCGAAAGCTCTTCATGCCTGTCAAAAAATATTGGGTGTGTTAAAAGTTAAGTTCATACTGAATAATCTTATTGACGCCCCCACAAAATATCAACCAAAATTGTAAACTCTTAAAGCGCATATGTATAAAAATGATTTGTTTGTAAGGAATGTGTTGTGATAATTTTAGGGTTCAGTTTTTCTTCCGGTTCTTCCGGTTCTTCCGGTCAAGAATGGGAGTTTCTATAAAATTTACTTTTCTTTACTTTACTTTTCTATAAAATTTACTTTTCAAAATACATTATTTATCAACAAATGAAAGAAAAAACCAAGTGGTTTTTTAATATTATGCCTTTGATAAAGGTTGGATATTATATGTGTCCCAATTAGTTTATAGTATAAGCTTCATGAAAATATAAACAAACTGCAGCTGAATGTATTTTTGTATAATGAAAAATGTTCTTTATATGTTTTTGGCTAGTTTAGTTGTTGTTTTTTCTTTTAGCATGCACTGTAGCCCTATCTCCATTAGTTATCATTCGAATTAATCACGCTCGGTTGCCTATTTTTTTAAATTGGTTTAAGTACAACACAAAAAACGAGACGAGATGAGACGAGACTCACCCACGGCGGGCACCACATGTCCCTCCTTGCGACTATCACAGGAGCAGTGGGGGAAGACGACGTCCCCGTAGCCGGGCAGTGTGCGGGCCAGTGCCAGATAGTCGCCCGCTTTCTTGGCGTCCTGCAGCGCCTTCAGCTCGTAGAGTCGACCGTCGGCGCGGATGTTGCCGCGATTCACCTCATCGACGGCCTGGTAGAAGATAAACCGGCCGGCCTGTTCGCCATCGGGCAGCGTCAGCTCCTTGGCAACGGAGAAGAGCCAGCGGCGGACGCAGAGGCAGGTGGATGAGGCGGTGCTGTAGTTCTGCACGTACAGCTGATGGGGGATCTCGTGCGGCTGCAGCTTCCGCTCGAAGTTATACTCGACGATCTCGAACAGGTAGAAATACTGCTGCGTGTAGGCGGTGAGATTGGCGCGCTGCACGAGGATCTCCCACACCACCTGGGCGTTGGAGGACTTCTTCACCGACACGGTGCTCACCTCGTGGTCGGGCAGCATCACCTTGATGTCCACCGGCGAGGCGGATATGTCGTCCTCGGTGTCGGTGAGAAAGTCCTGAACGGCATCGCTCTCCGCGATCACCCGCACCGCGCACACCTTCTCCAGATACTGCTCCAGTCCTCGGCGCCGCGTGTCCAGCTGCTGTTCGCTCAGCTGGAAGGGCCACTTGCCGGGCAGCTTGGGGAAGTTGAAGCCGGAGAACTCCTTGCGCAGCAGCGAGTGCAGGTTGGCGAATTCCCGATAGCGACGTGAGCACAGCTGCCTGCCGGCCATATGTATATTGAAGACTATGTACCGCTCGCCGTTCCGGTTCACAATCCCATAGTCGGGTATGCTACAAAGAGCGTGGCGTTTTTAATAAAGATTTTGCCATTTTTTTTCTTGTTACCCCCACAAATTGACTCACCTAATGGGCAGCGAGCGCTTGTCCGAGTAATCAATGTAGGAGTAGCCGCTCTGATCCTCCTGCGGCTCCAGTCGATCGGCCTCCTATGAATAAGAACGTAAAAGTATATTAAGAAAATTAATGAATAGAATTAAATTTTTTTTGCTATAGAAACTGATAACTAATAATATTTAAATATTATTCCAAGCTGTCAGTAGCTTAAGTAATTAACAATTTCATAATCATTAAAGCCAAAATTACTTGTTATGTTTGCTTTTCAAATATTCTGTATTTTAAAAACAAAGCTACAAAAAAAAGTACGCTATTTAAAATTAATATTAAAATAAAAAAAATAAAATGCAAAAAAATATATGCATTATAGAAAAAGCGAAAAGGAATTTTATAGAACGTTTCTTTAATTTAATTAAATAATAAATAATTTCTGGCTGCTTTATAGAGATTATATTTTTTAAAAACTATGAAAAACCAAGAGATATGGTTAAAAACATTTTCACTCACCTGTTGTGTCACCGATATCACCGTCAGAGTTAGGCAGTCACCGCCGGATTTGATTAGATCCACGACCTGTTTGTGTGTGGCTCCCTCCACGCTGACGCCATTTCTGAAAAAAAAAAACAGAAGAAAACGTCCACAATTATAATATGCTTGATATAGGGATATGGATATACAGGATCTAAATGGGAAAAGCCCACCGTTTGCACCGTTTCTCTAAAGCAGTCAACTGCGCAAACTGAACAGAATGAAAGGGCAGCATTCGGAGTGAATTGAAAATCAAGAATGGAATCGGTTCTCAACGATCGCCTCAGGCGAATTGAAGGCGTTGCCAACGACCACTGATCCATTTAAGCGAAAATAATAACAGTGGGAGCCCGGAGATAGCGCCGATAATGGATGCATTGACATCGGCCAAGTTGTTGGCTTATCAGCCAGGCGGCGATTCTGGACCGTCACTCGATTCGATTCAATTCGATTTGATTCGATTCGATTCGATTCGATTCGGGTCAAGTTGGAATCACGTCCGAGTGCTTTATCGTATCTATTCTAGGATCGAAGCTCTCAACTGAACTTGAAGGTTGATAGACAAGAGGAAAGATAAGAGAAAAAAAGACAAAAGGGATTTTGTGCAACTAATAAGCCCATTTTAGTGATAAGAAATTGATTGGCATGTAATAAAAATTACAAGCAAAATGAATTAGAATTTAGCCAATACAGAAAAATATGATTAAAAAGGATTAACATACAAAATCTAACGAAAAACAGTTATAAAACAGTTAATAAACCAATTTACAACAATAATAACAAGCTTCAACTAAAGACATTGCAATCATTAAATCACATTACTTATCAAGAACTGATATAAAAGTCTTAATGAAACAGAATGGAGTACAGGATATAAAATAAAACATTGATTACATTGCATAGAACACAACAGAATCAACGCAATTAAATGGAGCACAATAAATTGCAGTCGCGAAAATGAAATGGAACGACAACAAGTAGCACAAATGTTATTTGCACGACCAAGAAATCAAGTGGGTATTGCAATAAAAGAGGGCAACGAATGGCCTTTGATAAGGGCAAAGTATCCCAGCCCACATTGACATCCATTTCGCGAGCTCCTCCACTTCTCCGCCGGAGTCTGTGTCGTCTTTCCGGTTTGCAATTTGCCATCGCCATCGCCATCCGTAAGTAAGTAAATAAAGTAAATAAATTGCAGCAGATATTGCCGCAATGTGACGCACTCGTTGTGGAACGCTCGAAAAGCTGCGTGACGCGTGACTCACATAGCGACATGTCAGAAATCCAGAAATCAGAATTCAGAAATCCAGAAATCAGAAATCATAGGGACCTGGTTGACTGGCAGGCATACCATAATATACACCAAGCATTATTATATATATAATGGCCGATAAAACGGGGACGAAGTGGAGGAGAACTGGGGATGAATTGCAGGAGAAGACAGGCGTAGACAGCTGAAAGCCTGAAACAGAAACAGAAACAGAAACTGAAACTGATACTGATACTGAAACCAAGACGTGGAGTGACTTTACTCCACTACGGAAACCTGTTTGCAATGGTAAAAATAGTTAAAAAAAAAAAAAAAACAAAAAACAAAAAACAAGACAAAAACACACAAAGGCAGCAAACGAGAGAGAAACACAACACAACACAACACTAAGCTATAGCAATAGCTATCTATGCATTTATTTATAGGCAAACGCAAATGCAAATGCCTTTCCCTCTTAATTGTGTCCGAGACAAAATGCGGCAAATGTTTTCTGGTTTACGACCGACTACTACTACTACTACTACTACTACTATTACTACTACTACTACTCATTTTGCATTAATTGTTGCGCCTTCTATTGTTGCGAAGTTTTAATTTGAAACATTTTGCACTATCTGCAACTACACAACATATTTGCAGTGTGGTCGTCTCTTGTGGGTGTGAATTGTGGTAAGACGACGGCTAACAAAGTAAAGGCCAAAAAGAGGCGAGAAAAGCGTGCAAATTGACGCACAGTGGGACAAGGTGGCATCGCTTGTCGACCGCACAGTGGGCGGCCACCCACAAATTGTGACATGTGAAACAACATCTGGGGGCGTTGTGGTTTGTATTGTTATTACCAACTCCTGGGGGCATTTATTCTTTGCTCACCAACCATATCGATTTGCATTTACTTGCTTAATTTTAGTATTTTTCAGTTTGCCAACCTGATACCTGTCAAGTAGTTAATAATTTCTAGTCATACCATTAAGCTCAAATTATTATCCCCATCATCTGGGATGTGTAAAGGTAATAAAATGTAAGTTTAAGCTTGTTATTAATAATAACACATTCTCAATGGATTATAAATCACTTAATAGACAACAAATAAGTAGTATCATACTATCATTTCGCAGGGTACCGCCAAATTGAATAGGACAAAGCAACTATCTGTGGCAAATAATGTGATTTCTATATTCATTTCGGAGAATGTTTATTCGCGATTTGTGTGTTTCCCTCCAGCACTAATTGGACATGAAAAATGCGACTGTACTGTGGCATTTATGGGTTTTACGGGGAAAACAATTGTTTAAGTTGAGCAAATCGAATAAATATTTGCAGGCCACCGAACAAATAATAGAATCAAAAATTGTTTACATACAGATTTTTACTAGTTGCGGGCGAATTGAAACGATAGATAATTCGCATATATAGGATGTAGAGTGCTATAAAGAGGTTTAAATATCTAAAAATATGCAGAGAAATTTGAAGAGCAATGTATATGTACATATGTATATATAATTTATCCACATATATCCCTCTGGATTCGCAATGACCGGCATTCTGCATTCGATGTTTATATTTAATTTACCTTGGACACGTACAACGCTTGCAACTGAAATGTAATTCCATTAACGGGAATGGAAATCGAAAATTAATTAAGCCCAACAGGGATTCAGTGGAGGACTTGACATGAGTGCTTAACAAGTGTCCTTCCATTGCTTAATTCTCGTTTTCTGTTACTGTTTTTGTTGCTTTTTCTGTTGCTTTTGCTGTTGCTGTTTCTGTTTTTTTTTGTCATTTTCCCCCTCTCCTGAATTCGAAATGGGCCCCCCCTTACTCATTTTCCGTCATGTTTATTTCTGGCTAAGTCCGAATGAAACCGAAAAGTGAAACCTGAAAACATGAAAACCTGAAAACCTGAAACCGCCACCGACCGAACCAACTAAACACGGGGTCTCGAGGAAATGCGGAAATGTGGGCCAGAGTCACAGCCAGAGCCAGGCGGCAACCAACCAACCAAGTCGAAACAACAACGAACACACCACCCCACACCACACCACACCACACCACACCACACCGCACTCCCCATCCAATCCCAATTTGAATCCATCCATCCAGTGACGTAAATCTATTGATTATTGTCGGGGCATATGCCACAAACCACCAGCAACAACAGTAACAACATTGACACAGAACCAAACCGCAAACACAAACTCGTGGCGGCATAAAAACACATGCAGGACGAATTCGAGGCAAAGGTCTCGATCTATAAATACCTAGAAATGGTTTAGTCTTTAGCTATTTTTGTTTTGTTTAATTATTTATTTTATTTAAAAAAACAATTTTTTTTTATGAAAATTTCATCCTGTTAATTATTTTTGTTGTAAAATTGTATAGTTAACCAATTAACATATTTACCTAATTTCCTATATTATATTTATTTTAATTATTATACCTTTATTTATAAGTTTAAGAAATTTCAAAAACTGAGTTTTAGCAACATAAATCTGTCTATTTAATTAAATATATAGAATTGTTTAGACAGATAAACTAAAAAAAAACTACACTTTGGTTTGTTTGATTTGTATTTTCGGTATCACACAAGTCAATACCATGTAGCCAAGTTGGAAACTCGATCTCAAACACTATCCGCCTTCTAGGTGGTTCATATGGTTGGACAAAGACGTTTATATGGTGGCTACAAATCAGCTAATGACCCTTCAATAACTCAAGCCATATGCCACAAGAACTCATTCGACCCGTGCGGCAAGTTTGAGTTGGGAATTGTCTGCCACTCGCCACTTGCCACTTGCGTGTTTAAAGGCTTCTTAACACTCAATTTAGTTTCAGCCCGAGAAGATGAACTTTAAATTGTTTGCTTTAACTTGTACATACGAAATACGTACGTTCGTATATATTTGTAAAGGGAAAATACCTGGGGAGTAATAGGATGAAAGCGCAGGAGCTCAAAAAGAAGAAAATAAGGACAGAAGTGAAGGAAATTTCCGGCTCAAGATGCAATTGTTCCTCTTCGTTTCAATCAAGTTCCCTTCTTTTTTTATGGTTTGCAATGCCTGCAAAGTTATTCTCGGTATTCTTTGAATGAATTTGTTCATGTATCTCTTGGTATACACTGGAAGATAAAACATTTTGCATAGTATAACAAGGTCAAAAATTATAGAGGTTGCCAATTTTTAAGCCTGCTTTGTGCGTGCTTTCAAAAAGCTATTTAAAAAAAAATCCCTGTACTTTTTTCCGCTTTGAAGGCTTGCGAATGTCACGTTCATTGGGAACTGAAATGGCCATATATTTTCTCATTTTATTTTATTGCTATTAATTTACACTCTTATTTTAATGTCTCTATTTTTATTTTTATGTGTGTTGCGGCATGGCTGTTGTGGACTTTAACGAGTGTAGTGGCAAGAAAGCGAAGACACGAAAGCCGAGCTGAAAATAGTTCATAATCTCCATTGATTGAATCGCACAACCTTAGAACAACCTCCCACGACCAAGTACAATGTCAAGTGGACTGAGAGACGACCAAGTGCAAGACGTGCACAAAAGATGCAGATGGAATATGGCTAAAAAAGACTGCCTGGGGTCCTTGGGGTGCTCAATTATGTCATGCAACCAGAAGTGTAGCCATTCAGTGTCCCGTTTCCCAGAGATGTCTCAAAAGGTGGCTGTTAGCGAAAGGTTTCAGCAATTCATTAAACCCCCTTCAGGATTAACCCAAGGGTCAATGAACTCATCCTTTTCGTCCTTTGGCATTCCATAGTTCAGTGACAAAGGGACCGTGAACAGGGGACAGTGGACAGTGGACAGCTACTTGACAAGTCCAAGTTCAGTTGAAAGTGCATTATTTAGTTGCCGCATTAAATCAACCGCAAAAGTTCAACAACTTTCAATTATTATCATGGCAAATACTAAGTGACTGCCTAAGCGACACAAGTAATTGATGGCCCATTTTCTCGTTGAAATGAATTAGGTTTCATGTATGAGTTAATTCAGTCAACAAAGTTGAGACGTAGCGAACACACAAATTGTCCAAGGAATTTATTTATTCAATTTGAATGCACAGCGTGGGGGTGTGAAACTTTCTCCAAAGCCATATGGGTTAAATTCACAGGCAAATTGTATTTTCTTTCAGCAAAATGTATTATTTTTAATTGCCTAATGTTGCGAAACAAAAAGAATCGATACGTTTACTTCACCTACAAAGTGTTAATTCAAGTAGTTTGCCCAAGTTGAACTCAAGACAAATAAAATAAACGATACCATTAATTTCTCTGAATACCAGAATGTTATTTTGATTTTACTCTTAATCTAACAATGAAATTTAAGTGATGAGATACATTTTTACATTATTATTTATCAGGTTATCGAAGACCAAATCTCACAGTCAGCACTTGAGCCATGGCAATCTGCTGAACTTTCGGAACCCACATAGAAAGAAATACCCATGCCAAAACTTATCCTGTCCCATCAGTGCGAACTTGGAACCACTTGAGACTCAAATGCTAATCTAATCGCAGTATAGCTGCATTATTCTTAGCCAACTAGTTCTTTGTCCCAGCAGTCTGGCCAGCAATTCGAAAGCGACTACACGATGGCCAAGAGGGGAATATTGGATTCCCAGTGGCTCCTACTTGTGGTAGGTGGACTGCTCATAATGGGATTAGCTGTAGTTGACTGCCTGGAATGCTATGCCTGCGATTCCGCCGAGGATGTGGAATGTGCCACCCGACCGGGTCAACAGCTGGAAGTGGAGGAGTGTTCGCTGGCCGGCGACGAATGTGTCACCTCCATTTCGGCGGGACTGACGCGACGCGGCTGCCTGGCCCGCCTGTATCCCAACGGCTATTGTGCCGCTCCGTGTGACAGGTGTAACACGAGTCTATGCAATCGGCACGTCTATCCCACGGATCGGCTGCGATGCTATCAATGCAGCGGATCGGAGTGCATCGATGTGACCAGCAGGCCACAGTATCTGCTGCCGTGTCCGGTTTATCGGGAGGATGACAGGTGCTACACGAACGTAGTCCACTTATCCAATACCCAGCGTGGCTGTGAGTACACAAATCTTCCCACAACCTGTCCGCATGTTTGCTTAAAGTGCAACTACAATGGTTGCAATGCGGAGAAGACCGTCACGGAGACGCGTTGCCTCCAGTGCGTTCACAATCGATTGGCCCCAAATCCCGATTGCCTGAGGGATCAGGAGCCCGAGGATCGGGTTCCGGAGGATCAGCCAAAGTGCTCGTTGAGCAACACAACCGTCTCGCATTGCGCCAATAAAGTGATGTACGGACATCGGGAGAATTGCTACAGCTATCGCAATACCCAAACGGAGGTATTTCAAAGGGGTTGCTCCACAACGATGGGATTCTTTCCCACCGGCGAGCTAAGCGAATGCCACGGTGAATTCTGCAATGCCAACTGCCAGGATATAGTCTGTGCTGTCTGCAATTCCACAGCGAATCCGGGTTGTCGGGCCGGACGCAATCTGCCGACCGAAAAGTGCGCAGCGGGCACTACGGCCTGCTATTCCTGCGAGCAAGGTTAGGGTGAGTGGGTCAGTCAATCAGAACTGGGGATACCCTTTTAAAAAACTCACTGAGAGAATAGTATCTACCGCAAAACCTATCCAAATCGATCAATCATTAGGACCTTTTAAAATAAAATTTGATATTATACCAAAAATTATCCTTCGAAAGAGTTTTAGTAATTTGGTAAAAGATTATATTCGATACTAGAAATAATCTTTAGTAATATTAATTTGTAGGTATTGAACTACATAACTAAATTTAGTTTTTAAAAATGCTAATTACGTATAACAATATCTTGGGCTATAAACTAATTTAAACAGGACGACGGGAAGTTTTAAATTTGTAAATTGAGTAAAATATCATCTATGGTTCTATTTCCATTCTTCTACTACAAAATGCACCATGTCTGAAAAAAGGTTGTTTTTTTTGTTGTTGTAAAGTTCCAGACTTGTTAGATACCTATATAACAATTCCCCGTATTTATCCAGATACCTTCCTGCGACGTGGCTGTGCGGATGCGGATTTTGCGCCTGCTGCACTGGGCGACAGTTGCCAACTGTGTCGGGATGCTGATTCCTGCAATCGCTACTCCGTGCGGAGCTGCTATCGCTGCAATGCGCAGGATGCGGATACGGATTGTGCGGCCATGGATTTGCCTCCGGCGATGACCATCAGTAATTGCACTAGCTCCACAGAGCTGTGTGTGAGCACGGTGGTCAGTCGACTGGACGGCATCTATACGGTGCGAGGATGCGAGTCTCAGGTACCGGAGTGCTCTGCAAATGATCCGTATTGTGTCCGGTGCAACGGAAGTCTGTGCAACGATGCACCCACTCTCTGGAGGCAAACGCAACTCGATCTGGTTGCAAATCAGGATTTGCGGGATAGCTGGTGGTCACTTCTTCAATACTGGTGGTCCAGGAAACTCCGATAAAGTCACCCATATAAAGTATACCAATGAAATAAAGAGTGATAAACTAACAGCTGATGTTAATGAATGTTTGGCCGGCAATATACAAAAAACCGAGAAACGCCCCCGCAAAAAGAAACCAAATCCACTCGGATAACCAAGCTGACTATAACCACGGATGACTTATCGCGTGAACTGCCGAATATAGTACTCATCTTAGGTTCAAGTTGAAAAAGATCTTCTCAAGGAGGTTTACAAAAAAATTTTAGGTTGAAACGTGTATACATTACAATTAATTAAAAATAATTACAAGATATGACTTCTCGTAATTATTTTTAATTAATAGATTGTAGATTTTAATTAATAAATTGTAATTTTTTTGACATATGTTTTAAAATTTCTGATTTTAGCTAATTTGCCGGTCTTTCGTATCTAGTTAAGTATACAAAATTAGGGGGATTTAAGCGCTTGATTCCAGTTGAAAACTGGTTCGCAAGAGGCGGAAACTAAATGCAAATTTGTTTGCTTTTGCTTTTTGCTTGCCCTCTGCAGTTTGTGCTTTTTTTTGTTGCTTTTGCTTTTACTTTTACTTTTGCTTGTGTTTCTGATTTTCTGCTTTTGTTGGCTCACGCGCAGCCAAATTATAACGGCTGTTCGTCATTGTTGTTGTTATTTTCACTGATAATGAAATGATGGACACTGCAAATAGCAACAACAAGCCGCATAATAAACGAGCATCCCCCCTTCCAATCCCCTGAAATATCTCTTGTTTTCACGTCACACATTCTGTGTGCAGTGGAAAAGTGTGGAAATTTGCGAGTTTATCGTTGCCGACGAGAAGGGGACAATGATAATTAAGTTCTTGGGCGCTAGAGCAACGAAACTTTAGCAAAATTTATTAATTGAATTTCATCTCCGAACGGGAATAGTTGGATAGAAAGAGAGAGTGAATACCGCACCCACAATACGACGAAAACGAATCTTTAAGAGTAACAAAATACAGTAGGCGCTATTTTACGTTACATGTTTTTATACTTTAACTATTTTATGAGACGGGATTTTATTCTAGATTCAAATTGTCTGACACGAAAAAGATTTGATTTGATTGATTTTTACAAAAATTCAATAAGTTATAAGCAGTAATTAAATATTACATGGATATGCATCGCTTAAGAAAGCGGAATTTGGATTTTTTTTTAAAATATTTATTATTATTATCATTATATACTGATTTAAGAATGATTTTTAATAATTGAAATATAGTAAAAACATGTATTCTCTTTGGTTCAATATCTTAAGCGATGACTGTACATAAACGGAATAAAATAAAATGATTGATGGACAACCTCGAATGTGAGGAAAGGGGGAGAGAGAGAGGAAAGCGAGAAGGACTGATAACGGGTATCGAAACTGAAATGTCAAAGATGCTTAACAAAAGCTTTGCACGACAGAGAAATAGCATACGGAAAAAGAGCAGAGTGAAAGAAATACAAATGAAAAAGAAATAGCAAGTGAGAATTTGAATAAGCCTGCAAATAGTATTGGAATGAGAACCCATGCATGTCATAATACTATGCCATTCAGGAAAACATAACAGCAAAAAAACACAATAAATCTATTTTCATATCTACATTCCACTGACTCATAGTTCTAAATCGTCATAGTTCCTGATTGCAGTGATAACGGGAGTTCCCAGGAAATGGTAAATGAATTAATCATTCAATAACAAGAAAGAAATATGAGCTTTGCTCGACATGATCCTAAAACAATCATGTTTAATAAACTGTTTACAAATTATACTTTCTAGAAATGTCATATATAAGATACCAATTGTGTGCCTTTATTCTCCATTAAAATCCCTGTTCAAGCTTTTTTTTTTGTTCAAAATTTCGATAACAACCCTCTAAACCGAGTGGACAAAAATTTTTCATGAAAACAAGCAACTAACCACCTCATCCACCCAAAAGCAAAATAAAAACACAGACACATACAGACGCAAAATTTATTGATATTCCCGGGCATTTTGACCCACTACAAATTCATTTCCACTTCCAACTTTAATTCCAATTCCCTCGCCCACCCAAACTGCACGCCCCTTCCAGCTCAAAAGTGGGCGGGTTCAGAGGTTGAACATGCAAGCCCTTTGAGGGGTTAACTTCACTTGCTTAACCCCTGTATACCCAAAAAAAAACCAACTCCACAAGCCCAGCGCTTAAAAAGCTTATTCTTTAGATTGCTTTTTGAGTTTTGACACACTTTTTGTTTAGAAGTATTTTAGTTTATTTACAACATACTCAAAACTATAATTTGGGCTATAATTTGATGAAAGAAAAGTTATAAACTACGCACAAGTTTCAATGAAATTACTGACAAACTCAAAACATGAGGGAACATATTAAAACATTAGGCAACTTTTACACATTATTCCAATTGGTCATTTACATAGTTATAGCATAATCAATGAACTTTAAGTTTCTAAGTATGTCAGTGTCAATATGGATTCAAGTAGTAGTAAAGTAGATGCAAACAACTAAAACTTATTTGCAGAAGTCAAAGGATGTTATCTCGATAGTAGAAAGATTTTAAAGACTGAATGAGACCAATTTGTTATATAAATCACTCTAAAACGGTTAAGCGGTCAACAAAAAACTAGCTAAAGATAAATACATAACTAATGTGAATCTCAAACCGTTGATACCAGGGATATGAATCTTTACAAAATTTTTGATTTGAAAGCGGAGATTGAGAATATTCAAGTGCCCCGAAAGTGTATTCAAAGAAATAAACCACTGATTTATCTTAATAAAGTTTCCTTAGGAATTATTAGATCGGTTCTATTTAATAAGTAGTAGTAGTATCATTAAGCAATAAAATAAAAAGAAACAAAAATGAAATTATAAAGCATGGCGCTCTTTTAAAATAATGTAGGTAAACTTCGACCCCGAATGCCCCTAAAGCGGATTAAACAAAATATGCAGCCGTGGTAAATGAACCACAACCTCGTTGTAGAATGTAATATATCAAGGATAATACTTACACCTCCAGGATGCGGTCTCCTTTTTTGATACCCGCTTTTTCGGCCGCCCCATTCTCAAGGACGGCGCTCACGTGCTGAAGGGGGGCGTACAATTCACCGTTGATCGAGCGCAGTTGACCCCCCTCGGAAACTTGACCACGCACATTGAAGCCGAATCCCGTTTCCGTTTTGTAAATGGTGACGACACGGGGGCCATTTGCGGTGGTTACGCCTACGCCCATGACCCCGCCTCCGCCAACCCCTCCTCCTGATGATGCGGACACCACTGTGTTGGTAGGGCCTGTAGGCGGGGGGAGGGGGTGATTCTCGCCAACGATGCTCATTGCGCCGGTCGTTCTTCCTCGCTCGCACTCACTGATTTACAACGGGGGCTCCTCTTCCCCTCTCGCTCGCTCCTCCTCTCTGTTCACCCCTTCTCCCTCCTCACCACCTTCTTCGTTGTTTGCACAATATCTTTTGTTGTGGTTATTTCTCTCTCTTTTATTTTGCGTAATGTTTTCTGCAACTTCTTTTCGGCACAGGCACACACACACGTATAGAGACACCGCCACTTTTACTTTTTCCCCTCCGCTTTCTCCTTCGCTCCACCGAAACTCCTCTTCCTCTATCTCTCTCACTCGCCTCGGCTTCTTCGCCTCACACACGCACACACCAAAAAAAATATATTTGTGTGTTTTATTTAATTTTAACGCGCCGCTTGTGTTTCCGCGCTGCGCATTTTGTTGCTAGCATCTAGCCAATGGTATTTGCGTTAATTAATTTACACGTAATTATGCGCAATTTAGCCGCTTATTTATTTTGTTCCATTGCAATTGCTGAAGTGAATAGAGGTGGGGAAATACCGATGCCAACGCCATCGGTCATCGATGTTTTTTAAACATCGGTCATCGATATTTCAAAACATCGTTGACATCGATGTTTTTCCCCTCTACAAAAGATGTTAGTCGATACCGACTCTCTTATTCACTCCTCTCTTATTCATTTAACATTTCTGATAGAAAAACGACGATTCAACAATGCGGTTACAACAGCGAAGATTTTGAATTTCGAGCAAAACTGATCCGGGCTATGAATTCCGGCTCAATGATAGAGGAAACTGTCCTGATCAGATTTAATGCCATTTAAATATAAATTTTTTTTGGAACATCAAATTTAAATGAAAACTTTTAGGGGCCAAGCAAACAACAAAAAAATCTGTTGAAAAATTGCGGGAATATAGACGACCGACAGCACAACAAACCTTCTCGATATACAGCGCGTACATCCAGATGGAAAAGGACAAAGTTCAACTACAATGGATATATTTGTCAGGAAGTCGCCTTTGATGTAATGTAGTGACTCTATACAGCAGGCAGTCTGACCAACTGAATTTTGACCGTCGCACAAGAACATATAAATAAATTAGAATAAAAGCTTTGTTAAAAATTATTATTTCAAATATCCCACCAAAAACATCGATGCTTCCACCGCTAGCAGAAACAATCAGCCAGAGTGTCGACTGCTGTCTATCGGCCGGAGATCAGCTGACCGGATTATCGATAGCTATCGAGGCTTTGCCTGTTATCGCCGGCCGGGAGTGTAACGAACGCAATTTTGAGCTCCCAAAAAGCTCAGTATATAATTTTGTGTTTATTTTAATATTGGTAATATTGTTTTGAATACAAATATATTTTTATAAATCGAAAATGGTATTTCCATAAATAAATAAATAAATAATTTCATTAGTGTGCATCGTGACGAACGCCCATGTGAAAAATAGAAACTCTGCTTTAAGTTATAACGGTACTTTTTTGGGGCTTGCTTTTTTAAAAATCAATTTAAGTCTTGAGGAGCCAAATCTTGTTTAATATTATAAATAAATATAAAAAGGGTCTTTAATTTGTATACAATTTATTTTGTTTTGATAGTCATTATTTTCAGTTGATACATGTTAAAAGAAATATTTTTCATAAAAAATTAAGTATTTTTCATGTTTTTTACTTTTATTCCAAATCAAATTTCAAAAGATTTAACGGTATTTATTATAATGCAATGTAACATTTTAACGCTTTTTCGAAAAGCTTTTAAAGCTCTTATTTAAAAATTCTGTTCGATTCGACGTATTTATTTTCAAATTGGTAATTAGTTTAAGAATTGTTTCTCGACTACCCAAGTTCAAAATATGTCTATAAATATTTCCCAAAACCACATTTTGCTTCTAGTTTGAAATTCCCCAAATATTATACAATAAATATCATAGGGTTCGGGGGGGCGTGACTGCGACCATAAAAAGGGATCATTCATACATGGGCATGGTCGTCGGCGCTTTTGGGCTAAGAATGGGGAAAGGGAATGGGGGTGCTGAAAAAGTAATCCCCTCCCAAATCATGATATTCGAATGCAATGCTTCCTCTTTTTATTTTCGTTTTGATTTCGTATTGTTTTACTGCTGCTCTGTTGTTTCTGTTGTTTTAGATGTCTTATGAAATTTGTTTGATACGCACACTCTAAATTGTACATATTTATTTAATCCTGAAGCAGTCCTAAAATCACTGCCCTCCGCCTAACTACTAGTAAAGGTTTCCTTTTTTTGTTATTAATCAATTACTCACAGGCAATGCATACAAACATACACGTAAAAAAATAGTGCAAAAATGTATTACTTTTTTGTTGTTTTTATATATATATATAACAAACGGTACGTTTTTTTTTTGCTTATCCTTTTGCCTGCCTTTCAAAATATTATTTTCTGTGTGTGCTTAAAGGCTATGCGCTCACATTACAATTTGCATAATTATTTAAGAAAATATACAACATAAGAGCAAAAAAGAAAAAAATAGAGGATTGGTGGAAACCGAAAATACATGTTAATACGATTATTTTAGATAATGAAACGCTGACCCGATTTAGGCAATAAATATATGTATATACTATATAATGTGTGTGTGTGTGTTGTGTTGTGTAATTTTTTTGCATTTTTTTTACGTTCCCTATTCGTTTTGGCTAAAATCAAAGCGAAGTTTTCTTGAAACAGGTCCAACAAAAATTGGCTAAAATGTGTGAGGCTCAAATAAGCTCAAGCTTTTCCTAAACTTTCCCATTTTTTTATACACATACAATATACACTTAAATTGATATATGTCTAATTTAAATAATTCCTAAGTTCTTAGGCGTAGAAGAGAAAAATATATTGTATATTACTAGGTAAAAAAAAAAAAAAAAAATATTACAACTGAAACGGCTGCTACAAAATCTTTTAGTTTTTTCTGGTTTTTTCTGTTTTTGTTTTGTTTTAAGTTTTATCGTTAACTAATGCCTATACTTAAGTATTTATATTTAGTTTAATTACATGTATCTTGCATGCTGGCGAGTGGATTTGTATCCGCATCCAAACGCACGCCCTACAAAAAACTCCTACTAAACTTCTTAACTAACTAAGAAATCGCCCCCAAAAATGTGGTGTTTTCTTTCTGCTTTAGAATTGTTGCTGCTTCTCCTTGTCGTTTTTGTTGTTGTTGGTTTTGTTGTTGCTGATGTTGTTTGGTATGCGATATAGTGGCTATATCCCCCGGCATTGATCCCGATCCAGATCCCGATCCAGATCCTGTCCTGGCATTTATATACAGTATATTGGAAATTGACGAGAATTCTTGGCTGCCGTTGGGCTGCTTTTCCCTTTGTTTTTTTTTTGATTTCGATTTCGACATCGACTTGGATTTCGATTTCGATTTCAAATTTGTTGACATCACAGACAGATGGATTGGATGACCCCGCGGGCTCAGTGGTGCCACATGAGCCATCGTTAACTCTTGGCGACGGCCTGCTCCGTAATGGTAGCTGCTGCTGCCGCTGCTGCTGCTGCTGCTGTTGTCGTTGCTCCATGAGGTGATCCCAATCCCAATCCGGATCCGGCTAACTGCTGCTTGCGATCCCACCACTCCTGGATGCTGGACACCATGCGATGACGGCGGAAGCGCAACGTCTCCCCGATGCACATCTCCACGAAGTCCTGCTGCATCTCGTGGTCGCCCTTGACCAGGTTCATGTGCTCCAGCAGCAGGCTGTAGTCGCGTCCTGGTCGCCGGATGTCCCGATAGATCTGCATTCGCAGCTCAATGTTGTGCAACCGGGCCGCCTCACGCTGCTCCTCGCTGAAGATCAGGGGCATCGGCGATTGTCCCCGTGGACTGGTCGTCATCTCCCCGTTGTTGTTGTGCGTCGGCGAGGAGCCGCAGCTGGAGGAGCTGCTCTTGAGCTCCAGCTTGCAGGGGCTACTGTTGTTGTGGCCGCGTTGGTGATTGCTGCCCGCTGGTCCTGGTCCTGGTCCTGCTCCTCCAACACCACCAACACCACCACTATTGTTGTTATTGATGTTGTGATGATTGAGACCACTGGCCCAATAGTAATGCGGATTCCCCGCTCCAGTGCCAGTGCTGGCGCCCGCCAGTCCAGCGGCTCGCTTCAGGGCATCAAAACTGTTGCCGCCGCCACCACCCAGCGTGGCATGGTCATCGGATGCGGATGACGTGGATGATCCCCCAGCAGCCCCCATCTCCGTGCTGCCATTCCCATTGGTTGCCCCCGCTCCGGTGCCGCCGCTGGTGCCATTGTGGCAGGTCTGCAGGATGCGCGAGATCTCCGAGGCATCGTTGATGTCGTTGTGGCTGAAGTAGGCCGAGCTGGAGGTGGACGCACCCGTTCCCAGCGACGACGGAGGCACCAGGGAGAGCGGCGACGGCGGCGAGATGACCGAACTGTGCGGATGTCCATAGCCATTGGCCAGGGGCAGTGATCCCGGCTTGCCGCCACTCAGCAATCCACTTGCTCCTCCTCCTCCTGCTCCGACGCCCGCTCCGCCCAGAGAGCTCAGGTTGTCCAGCGGAGAACTGAGTCCGCCCAGATTGCTGCTGTAGGCCGCATGGGTGGTCAGGCCATTGAGCGGCACATAGAGCACGCCCGAGGAACTGGCGCTGGAACTGTGAATGGAACTGGAGGAGCACACATCGCTGCCATTGCTGGCCTGGATCACAGATGCCGCTGCTGGCGTTGCTGCTGCTATCACTGCTCCTCCTGCTCCCGCTGCTCCTGTTGCTCCAGCTCCGCCTCCAGTTGGTGTTTCGCTGGCTGGCGGGGAAACGCCAGCACCTGGCAAAGATTCCGTTTCGCCCGATGCCAGCGCATCATCGCTGATGCCGTTGATAAAGTTGTGCACATAGCCATTGAGCGGCGTGTCCTGATCGCTGGTCTCCTCCTCGTTGAAGTCGAAACCGATGCCCAGGCGATCCGTGTGCGAGATGGAGGACATGCCAGAGTCAATCGACGATGCCTCCGATGTGGAGCTCACAAAGCTGCTGTTGCTGTTGCTGTCCTCGTCAAAGCAGCTGGCACTGGGACTGCCATCGATGCCGCCGATGCCGCCGACGCCGCCTCCCTGGACGGAATCGCAGCCAGCCAGGGATGTGGAGGTGGCCCCCGGTAGCGGGGAGCCCGGCGCACTGCCCGTCGACGAGGAGGAGACCGAACTGGAGCAGGAGGATCGCGAGTCCGTGGACATGCGGCGGAATTCAAAGCCACGTGGCAACGGACCGGCTTTTCTCTTGCGCCCCCTGGACGTGCCATCGAGTTTCTTGGAGGAGCCGCCACTGCCACCGGCTCCCAGCATCAGTCCGGACATGCCGCCGCCCATGCCGGACATACCGGGACCGGGACCGCCGCCCGGCCCCGAACCCGGCGCACCCGACGGACCCGCTCCCGTGGGCGAACCCGAACCGGATGGCGAACCAGGCGGCGCACCGCCCGGGCCGTTGCCATTGGGCGATTTCATCGGCGCCACATCACTCAGATCGGCCTCGTCCACCATCACCATGTGCTTGTCCTTCTTGTAGGGATTGCCGAACATGTGCTGGCGCACATTCGTCGGCTCGATCTCGCGCAGCGGATTGTCCTTGTTCTTGAGGTACTCCTGGTAGTTGCCCATCTCGGCGATGGGCAGGCAGTGGCCCGAATCCTTGGCCACCACCGAGGCGGGTCGCACGAACGTCTCCCGCATCCGGGCTATCTCCTCCACCAGATCGCGACGCGGTATGTCGAAGGGATTGCGATACGTCTTCGCAGACGACTGATGCGTCAGCTGCGGCACCACAATCGTATAGTTCTCCACCGGCTCTATTTCCGCATGCAGCTTGGCAAACGTTTCCCGCAGCAGTGGATGCCGCACCAGATCCCTGCGCAGGGCCGCACCCGTGCACAGTTTGGCCGTCTCCACCTGGCGATAGGGGGGCTTCGGCTGCTTCAGCTGCTTGTAGACCTTCAGGCAGAGATTCTCCTGGTCCTGCTTGGCGGTGTTCTTGATGTGCTTCAGCTGATTGGCAATGGTCGGCGACAGATAGTTGTCCACGTTCTCCGGCAGCAGGAACTGCAGCAGCTGGTACGGCACATTGATGTTGACCAGCGCCTTGCGCAGGAACGGGCAGTAGTACGGCGGTATGGAGCGCACATAGGCGTTGAACTTGTACATCAGATCGTTCGGCGGACTCATGTTGTACTTGTGGATGAGGTCGTGCAGGATGGGCAGCAGCGCCGGATAGTTGTAGGCCAGCACATAGAGGTGGACCTGCGAGAAGTTCGGCGCCGCCTTCAGGTAGCCAAAGGGCAGCTCGAACCCGTGCATGCCATTGGTCACGATCACCTGCCAGCACTTGTTCATCTCGCGCTTATTGAGGATCTGCAGCGTCAGCGGACAGCCCTCGATCTCGTACTTATCGACGGGAAAGCTGCGCACCAGCTGCGGCTCATCCACCGCCGGCGTGAGGATCTTCAGCTTGGGATGGGCGTCGCGCGGCGGCAGCGTGATGGCCTTCGAGTCCGGCCAATAGGGCTCCGGCAGTGGCCAGTAGCCGATGGGGAAGGTCTTCTGCGTGATGTGCTTCTGCACGTAGATCATCTTCTTCACCGGCTGGAAGACGATGTCGGGCGGCGGTGGCTCCACCGCGGTCGTCAACGAGGATACCAAATTGGAAACCAAACTGTTCAGCAGGGTCCTCTCCGCCGTCACACTGCCGCCGGCAGCCCCAGTACTGGCACCGGCACCGGCACCAGCCTCCTTCGGCAGCAATGGCTCGAACTGCAGCACCACACCCGGTTGCACCTTCTGCACCAGACTCTCGATGCACTGGTTGAGTACATAGTGGCTTCGCACGCGATACGACCGTCCGCCCGTCACCTCGCACATCCGCTCGATGGGCGAATCGTCGTGCGGCACCTTGCCGTCCACGCGCTCGTCAATCTTGTTGCCCGGCATTCGGAGGACCAGCGAGAACAGACGCTGGTCCCAGCGGAAGGGCTCCTTGGTGAATTTGGTGCCCGGTATTTGGTTGCTGAGCGGCAGTATGATCTCCTGGTGGACACCGTTGCGGTAGGAATACCGCCCGCCGTCCGTAATCACAATGATGACCGATGGCTCCAGGTAGAAGGGACACCTGCCCTGCCCGTACGTATCGATGCCCGACTGCATGCGGTTCAGGTTGAGCAGATCGAAGGCATTCCGCAGCGATTCACCCATGGAGGTGAGGCCGTGGCTCTGCAGGTTCTTCAGTTCGTTCATGAAGGTGGCATGGTTCTCCTTCCATCCGGCCTTCACGTTCGCCGGCGGCTCCTCGAACGTCAGCAGCATGTAGCGATCACCCAGGCAGTCCTGCGTCCGCTGGCGATACTTGAGGAACGTCTCCACGGCGCCCTTGGCAATGTCCAGATACGTCTTCTGCACCCCATTCACATACGCCTTCTGGCACATGGACGACGAGGTGTCCACCAGGAAGAGTATGATTGTCATGGCGGAGATTGATCCTGCGTTCCGATGACCACCTCACCGAACTCCCCTTTGCCGAACTGCTCCTTGTAGTCTGTGGTAATCTTGAAGAAAAGAAAAATATTCCAGGATTAGCTCAGAATGTTGCGATTTATGTTAGGGTTGCAAGTCGATTTTATATATATCAGGTGTAAGGCTTGTAGGGCTTTGATTTTAGGACACCTGATAAAAAGGATTGATTCACCTTATTAATGTTAATATTAAGTGATTAATCTCTTATCATCATTTTGAATTTAAAGAATTTTAGATGAACTTATTTACTGTCGAAAAATATAACTATTTTGTTGTCTTCAACAAGTAAATTTAAATAAAAGTTTTATAAAATTGATTTAAAATTAAAATTTATACCCAAAAATGACAAATAAATTTTATCCATCGTAGAGTAAGTAAATGTCGTCTTAAACGGAACAGTTTCTTGGCACTTCTATAACACAAATATTCACACAAAATCAAATTAAAGCATGACGTAACTTAATTCTAAGACAACAATTTAAAATCTCAACGGAGTGATGCATAAATACAAAATGAGTAGAGTTTGAAGCACAAATAACTTAAAAATAGACTTTAATAAATTTGAGACATGAGGAAATACGGGTTTAAAACCATTGTTTATAAATAATAAGAAGTAGCCAAAACAAAGATACTTAATTAAATTGGTCACTTAACGCATTTGCCAGTTAATTTTGTTTAAATTGTTGCAAAATTAGTCTATAGAATGTGTTTAATTTAATTTCAACAAAATAAGTAATAGCTTTTTTAACTTCACAAATGTTTGCAAATGTTTTAGTTTAAATTTTCGGAAAAGGTAATGATTTTACCTTAAAACTATTTGGTTTTAGAAATTTGTTTGCAAAAGGTTCAAAATAATTTATTTTAAACAATTATTTTTTTCATTCCACAATGTTTTGAAAATGTTTGCAAAATTATCGATAAGTGTTTTCGAATCGGTTTGCATATCAACAAAAGATCTTGTTTTACTTACTTTATCTGTTATCGTTAATCTTTCTATCTCTTTTCTCTGTATCTCTTTCTCCTTCTCTATTTTCACTCTCTTTATTCTCGCTGCCTTCTTATTATTGTTGTTGTTGCTATCTCTTTTTGTGTGTTTATATGTGTGTTTAGTTTTTGTTTACGTTGTTAGCAGCTCTTTTTCTCAGCTTGTTGTTGCTGATTCTCTTGCTCTTGCTTTTGTTGTTGTTGTCCTGGGCTTGATCGATTTGCTCTTTTTCTGCGTTTCGCTGTTCCGCTTTTTTTATGGTTCATGTTGCGTGAAACAGCTGACATTTGGACTGGATAAAAAACAACAACGAACTGCAAATAGAAACGAAACGAAATGGTAATGAAACTGGCATGCAACTGGTTGTTCGATATCAATAGGTTGCGCATACGCACTGTGTGCAATCGATTAAAAGGGGAGCCTTCATAGTATATAAAGATAATGGAACTGCGTAATCACCGCTATCACACACAAATGTTGAATAAAACAAGTGCTAATTAAACAACAAAATGGAATTAAATTCCCAGGGGGTCAGTTGGTCCTCGAGAGCTATGTTTTCTGTGAATATTTATGGAAGGGGAAAAGGGGAAATCGCTTTGACACAAATCCAAATCCACTCCACTCACTGGCCATTATTGCTCCTCTCCTCTCGCTCCTTCCAACTCGTCTATGTCTATGCCCCCTCATCTTTCTCTTTCTATTGATGCCCCACTACGGAGTCATTCACTCGACGCCACTGCCACCACTAGCACGCTCTGCTGGCGTCGCCCAGAGATGTCCGCGTGAGCCAGGTAGGCGAGGCTCGCACGAGAGGAATAGTTTGGTGGTCAAGTAAACTTCTTCAAAAAATAGCTTAATAATTGTAAATTGTATCCATTTTCTGAATACATAATATACGGATTATCTAGGCCATTTACTTATTTCCCTAATGAGTAAAAAAATTGCTGACTAAGATTTCAATTAAAAAATAGTTGTAAGGACTGTGGAATTATTTTTTACCAAAATAACAAAGTTATAACTTGTATGAAAAAATTGTTTAATTTATATCTATACAATTTATGTATATCAAAAACTGAGCGATATAAATAACTCCTCTGCGGAAGGTAACCGTAAAGTAAATCGATTACACAATACCAACGCTCACGATCGTGACTGTGTGTGCGGGAGAGTGGCACGACCTACTCATCTCTGATAAAGAGAGCCAAACAGAGTGGGGGGGGAAAGAGTAGGGGATGCCAGGACAGGAGGAATGCGGGAGCCAAAGCCGGGTTGAAGATAACGATCACTCGACGATCGCACGCTTAACCCATATCCTTACACTGGGATTTAAATAGAATTTAGGGCAACTTTCCAGTTAAAGGTGTTTTTTTATTACCAGGGGAGCCTGGCCGTAATTGACTTGAATTTCGAGTGCTAAACATTCAATTTCTATTTGAATAAGAGCGCAAATACACGTACACTCGCGCACATGGACATGAACACGACACGAGCACGCACACACATTCGCGAGTTTAGGGTTACCAGATGTGCCTGTTGTTTACAGGTGAAAACTGCAGTTTCGTAGATTTATTTAAATTAACTAACATTTCTCAAGCAAAAATCACAAATTCCGGATTAAACTAAATAGTGCGTGATTTATCGTTGATCTGGCAACCCTATCACCCGTGTGGGTGGAGAGGGGTGACTGCGGGGGAGCAAGTCGGCCTATTGTGTTTGACGGCAATCCAAATCACACACACGTCTTAAAAAATAATGATATGAGGCCGACGAGCACTTGAAGTAATCGAGTTTTTGCGGCCAATTAATCTTGACGAAAAGATATTTTGGCCAACAATATAATGACACGGCTCTTCGTCGGAATTCACTTATGCAGCCGCAGCGCCAGGGTTGCCGAAGCAACATGCACACAAAAAAGGGGGCGATAAAAACACACAGCTTTTCTATGTTTGGCGAAAGGGGGCGCAAAAAGGCGTACAAAGCCTTTGATTGGTGGTCATTTTTCATTTCGGATGACCTTAATTTGCATGTGATAATGCTGATTAGTGCAGTCGTGTTATCGCCCGCGAATCGCTATCGCCAGAGTTGCAACGCGAACGCAAATCGATTGCCCGCCAAAGCTTTCGAATTTTTGAATGGGGTTTTTGCAACTTTAAAGGTTTATATGGTTAATAATTAAGTTGCTTATTAGGTGCGCTCTCTAAAAAAAAAAAAAAACACTGGAACACATAAACACCGGCAGTCATTTGTAGAATGTCCCGGAAACTCTACAACAAAATAAATAAATCGTACTAACAACAGGAATTTCTTTCATCTCAATACTTGCAATAATTTTCGATTAGCTCCTATATGCCGCGCCACGATTTTATATTCTGTTATATTTTTACTTTGTGCCAACAGAAACAGAAATTTATCACCACCGCGCGAGAGCGAGAACACACACACGGGGGCAGAGCGAGAGAATGAGTTTTATTTTTTATGTGGCGCCCTCTCTCTCTCTCTGCCTTAGAGGTGCATGAGCGAGAACGACCGACAGACGCGACTAACAGTCGAACCGACCGAACGACCGTCAGTATGTCCGTCTCCTTCTCGCCCGTTGGTTAGTGTCGGGGAGTTGTTGCTGCTTCGCTTACACACACACACGCCAGCGCACTGCTCCCGCACACACATTCGCACGCACACTGTTGTTGCGCTGTCGTCGTCCGCTCCTGCTTCTTCTTCTTCGTCTCGGAAATTTTGCTGCTCCGAGCAATAACAACACAACACAATTCTCAAAGTTCGAATGATTCCGACGACGATTTTTAAGTGTGGCCAGATGGTGGTTGAACATAGATGCCAGCATCGATATCATCGATATTTTCAAAACATCGGTTTCATCAATGTTTGGCGGGGGCAACATCGATGTTTTCCCAACTCTACTCTTGTTTCCCTTTTGCCCGCAGCGCTGTCCAATATTCGTTGTTTTCTAACGTTAATGTTAGGAAAACGACGAACCAACATAGGAATGTTAAGAAAATGACAATTTTTGCAGTTCGATTGATTCCGACGACGATATATAGGTGTGCCCAAATGGGCCGATTAGGTGCGGCCATTTTCAGGTTATTCGAAAATACTCTGCGCAAAGATTTGGGTTTGTGGATTTCAAACCGAAATTGTCGGGTATTTCTTTAAGAAATCACAAACTTTTATTTATAAACATAAGAAAACCGAAATTTTTAAAACATTTTTAGTTCTATGAGGAAGGTTCATTAATATGAATATCATTTCGAGACATTTCTTATCCAAATTTGAATTTTAAAATTTCTACAAAGTAATTATATTCCTTCGATTTTATATTTTCAACAGAATATCAGAATATTTATCAGAGACAAATATTTATTTTGCATGATTTTTGTTTTATCCACATCCATTATCCATTTACTTAATAAATTGCAATGTAAAGTCTGATAACAAATCTGTACCAGCACAACGACAGTATTCACTCGAAATATGAAATACATATATACCTTTTTTTTTCATATGCATTTAGTTTCATCACAAATGATACCATGTTTCAATTGTTCTCATTATGAAAGCTAACTCTTATGTTATGGGTTTATAATTAAAAATTAAGATAATAACCATAAGTGTTCAAATAAATGGCGTAACTTTAACTAACAACAAATAATTTTTTGCAATTTAAAATTTTTTGTATGTGATATATAAGTTGTTTAATATCCAGACTAGTTCCCAAAATCGGGAGCTTACTGTAAGATTGGCTTGTCGATAGCGATGACAGTCTATCGGCACTGTTGTTATCGTTATCGACCCTGAACACATGTTCTCTCCGCTTTGGCGCGTAAGCACGTAAATAAAAATAAAAGTCCGGAAATTCGCACTCAGAAAATGCCGGAGAGCCTGATCGCCGGCATTCCGGTGCACTTCCCGTTTGAACCGTATCCGGTGCAGCGGGCGTACATGGAGAAGGTGATCCAGTGCCTGCGCGACGGTACAAATGGAGTCCTGGAATCGCCGACGGGAACGGGCAAAACCCTGAGTCTGCTGTGCTCCTCATTGGCCTGGCTGCGTACCCGCCAGTCGGAGCAGCAGCAACAGATGACCAAGCTGGAGAAGGGCGATTTGCCCGGTCTGGGTGGAGCCCCGGGCTCGGAACTCTCCGAACTGGCCAAAACGGTGGGCAAGGCCAACAATTGGGGCATACCAAAGGTGATCTACGCATCGCGCACCCACTCCCAGCTCACACAAGCCATGCGGGAACTCAAGCGGACGGCCTACTCCAACATGCGGTCCGTGGTGCTCGGCTCGCGCGACCAGTTGTGCATCCATCCGGAGGTCATGAGGGAGCAGGGCAACGCCAACAAGACGAACATGTGCAAGCTGCGGGTGCACTCCAAGACCTGTTCGTTTCAGGCGCGTGTGGAGTCGCGCAAGGATCATCCGGATCTGCGGGGACCCACCATCATGGACATCGAGGACCTGGTAAAGGTGGGCCAGCGCCTAAAGATCTGCCCCTATTTCGCATCCCGGGAATTGGTCGCCCAGGCGGACATTACCTTTATGCCGTATAACTACCTGCTCGATCCCAAGGCTCGCAAGGCCAACAAAATCGAACTGGGTAACACCATCGTCATCCTGGACGAGGCCCACAACATCGAGAAGATCTGCGAGGAGTCCGCTTCGGTGCAGATCAAGTCCTCCGACGTGGCCATGGCCATCGAGGATGTCACCCATGTGATGAAGGTCTTTGCCAGCGGCGAATCGCAGGATATGGCCGGCGATGAGCCCAAGGACTTCACTCTGGACGATCTCACGCTGCTCAAGGAGATGCTCCTCGAGCTGGAGAAGGCCATCGATGCCGTGGTGGTGGAAAACCCCCTCGAAGGAACCACCTTTCCCGCCTCCATGATGTACGAACTGCTCGGCAAGGCGAATGTAAGTAAGGGTTCACAAATGGACATTTTGATAGTCAAAAAGTGTTCAGTTTTTAATTAAATTTATATATTATTTTTCTTTTATTTTTTTTTGGTTTTTTTTATGTTTTTTAAATAATTATTTTTGTGTATGTATAAAATGTATAATTTAAAATGGGTTCGGTGTTTGTTTATTATTTTAATCTTTTTTTTATATATATATTTTTAAATTACTATTTTCTGTTAATGCTTGATTAATCTATAAAGTTTTATTAATCATATTTAGATACAGGTTTCTGAAATCCTTTGGCTTAGAATAGCTATATAAGGATTATTTAATCCGTTAAATTAAGAAAGAATTTAGAGATAAATACCTTAGTGCTGGTGCTAGTGCTTTGTAAGCATATGTTGTTAAATACTTTCGATGTTTTTGGTTTCTTTCTAAAAGTATTTCATAATATTGTGTTTCACTTAAAACCAAAAAACATTTATTTATTTGTATTATTGTACGTTTTAATGGAAACCTTTTCTACAATGTAAAAGAGTTATCAATTATAAATATGCTTTTAATAAATGTGCAAAAGGCACTTTAATAGGCACTCAAAGGGAAAAGATAAACGCCACCTTATTGGATATTTAAATGACCTCCCGTCCTTCCGTTTTCAGTTCACCTACGGCAACGTGGCCACCATAGTGGCCCTGCTGGACAAACTGGTGCAGTACCTCCTGGTGGCCTCGCAGCAGATGAGCATCCGCAAGGGCGGCACCTTCATGATGCTCAGCGATCTGCTGACCATTGTGTTTGCCAACAAGGCGGACGTGATGACCAAGGTGCACGCCAGCTTCAAGGTGCACGTCCAGGTGGAGGAGTCCAAGCAGCAGGGCCAGGGAAAGCAGCAGGCTGCCAATAAGCAGGGTTGGCTGGGCAAGGGGACGATTGCGGCCGCCAGCAGCTCCAGCAAGGTGGCCAAAATCGTCAACTTCTGGTGCTTCAATCCGGGCTTCGGCATGGAGCAGCTGCTCAACACCCAGGTGCGCAGCGTGATCCTCACCAGCGGCACATTGGCGCCGCTCAAGCCGCTGATCGCCGAGCTGGCCATTCCGGTGGCTCAGCATCTGGAGAATCCGCACATCGTCGACCAGTCGCAGGTGTACGTGAAGATCATCGGCACCGGACCCGATCGCCAGCAATTAATATCCAACTACACAAACCGGTGAGCGCTATTTACAGCCAAAGCTTAAACAAACCCCATTCGATAATAAACAATGGCTTACCTGAATTCAGCTGGTTGAAATGAATATAATAACTCTAGGAAATAATAAAGCTACTCAAATTCAGATTTTCTTTGTGAAAACTTAAATTTTCTTACGATAAATCGTAACTTACTAAATGGTTATCAATTTAACAAATAGTTAAACCATTTACTTCTTATAATTTCTTATAAATTATGAATGTTTAAGTCTATTAGCTTTAATAGCTTTTAAGTTATATTAATTGCATTTATAAGACTTTAATTTTCTTACCATTTTCTAACTATATAATAAATAGTTTAACAGTCTCGTTTTGTTAACTAAAATTTTTTTTGATTATTTTTTATAAATTTCATATTTAATACATGTATACATTAGAATTAATTTCTTATATCAGTTTTAATAGCTTTAAAGTTATGTTAACATTATATTCATATAATTAAAATTGAGTAAAATAAACAAACGAGAAAAAAAGTATTTCATAATCGATAAAAACATTTTCAAATGTTACATATGTTAAGTTAAATAAATTTGTAAATTAATCACACATAACATATTAATATATTTTCCCTTTTCTGCCCACTATTTGCAGTGATAATCCAAAGTACATCAGCTCACTGGGCCAGACGATCCTGAATGTATCGCGGATAGTGCCCGATGGCCTGCTGGTCTTCTTCCCCTCGTATCCCATGCTGAACAAGTGCGTGGACGCGTGGCAGGCGAGTGGCCTGTGGGCGGACATCTCGGCCAAGAAACCGATCTTCCTGGAGCCGCGCAGCAAGGACCAGTTCACCAGCACGATGGAGGAATTCTACCAGGCGATACGCGACTCCAAGGGCGCCGTCTTCATGGCCGTTTGCAGGGGCAAAGTGTCCGAAGGTCTGGACTTTGCCGATCGTAACGGGCGGGCGGTGATCATCACGGGTCTGCCCTATCCGCCGCTTAAGGATCCGAAGGTGATACTGAAGCGGCGCTACCTGGAGGCGAACAGGACGCGGGAGAACCAGCTGCTGAGTGGCCAGGAATGGTACAATCTGGATGCCACGCGGGCAGTCAATCAGGCCATCGGTCGTGTGATCCGGCATCGCAACGATTATGGCGCCATTCTGCTCTGCGATTCGCGGTTCAAGGACGCCTCCCAGGTGCAGCAGCTGTCCAAGTGGATCCGTGGCCACCTGGGCGACCGGCCGCAGTGCTCGCCCTTCGGTCCCATCGTCCGGGAGCTGCGCCAGTTCTTCAAGAACGCCGAGGCCAATGTGAGTCTTATTGGGCACTTTATTTGATTTAATGATGTTAACTAAAAATTCTATTCTCATATGGCCCAGATGAAGCAGCCGGATGAGCGGGAATCGGAGCCACCTTTGGAGACGGTTTGCAAAACCGAGGACGAGCCACTCGCCGCCATTCCCAAAATCAAGCGGGAGCCAGGCTCCAATGCCACCTTTAAAGCAGCCAACGAAAAGGCCATGTAGGTACCATTCGATTTGAGATTAGCATGCAGAGCGTACTATATCTATTATGCAGTTTAATAGAAACTACTATTTTAAGAAGTTAATGTTAAAAGCCCAAAAACAAATAATATTTTCAAACAATGTATCATAACTTGTTAAATCATTGAGTTCTTTTATCTATTACGAAAAAACGAACTCAACCATAAACTTTTAGAGGTTTTTCTTTTTGAAATCAGATTTCAATAGCCTAATATATAAGTGAGAATTGTTGTCCTAACTGCAAGGGTTTATATAGGTAAAGTTAACAGCCCAACAAAACAGATTCTGGAACCGACAAAATCTTGCATATGGTTTACTTCTTGAATTTGGTACCAAAAAAATAAAATAAAAATGTTAATCATTTAAAGATTATATATATAGAGAACTAAACCACAAACTTTTACAGTCATATTCGCTTTCTTAAATGCATAACTTATTTATTATCCTTCCTTACAGGCAAGTGGAGATGGCCAATTCCATAAGAACGTGGAGCCCAGCCGATTATGCCAGTGCCGCTGGACATAAACTGGGTGGTGCGGCGCCCAATGCCATGGACTTTATGAGCCGTCTCGACTCGAATGTCTCGGTATGAACGGGATTCCCAAGAATCTGCGTTTACTTTCTGTTTACATAGTTGCTTACGAAATTTCAATCTCCATTGCAGAGTATCGATTTCAATTGCTGCACGGATAGCAAAAGTAACTCATCTGGCTTGGTTAAGATTCACAAGCGGGAACGAAGCTCACCCACGCCACCGGAAACGGGAAACAGCCAGGTGGCCAAAAAGCGTTACAAACTGGTGGAGAACATCAAGCAGGAGCCGATCAGTTCGCAGGTTAAGGAGGCACCCGAATCCAGGGCCGATTTTCTGCGAGAGGTGGGATAATCCTCCCTGTTAGAAATGATCCCTTAAGTCTGTATTTTGTATATCTTGTGTTACAGCTTCGCAGCTTGGTTAACCAGGATGAGTTCCGGCGCTTCGGCAAAGCCCTCTTGGAATACAAAAGCGGCACGGATGAGAGCTTCCAGGCCCTGATGAGTGTCCTCTGGGAGGTGCTGGCCGCACCCAAGATGCGTTACATGCTCGTCGGGATGCGAAAGTACCTGAAAAGCGAGCACAAGAGCGATTTCGATCAGAGGCTGGCCAAACTCTAGGCACTTAAGTGCTCTCCTGTTTTGGTGACTATTCAAAATAGTATCGGAAATTACTCATCCCAAGGATTTGCCTATAAATGTAAACTAGGCTGTTTTTTTCGTATAATTATATGGGCGGTATAAATATATATTTTTTTACAATTACCAAATAAATATAAATATAAGGGTATATAGCATTTGTATTCGAATTTTCTCTAGTAAAGTGTATATTATAGATTTAAGTTATAGTTTAACTTTAAGATAAACAAAGGCTTTTTTTATATTTTATGGTTAATTTGGGCTTTGAAAACAGTTTGTTATTAAATTAAATAAAAATAAAAAATATATTTTAATTTATAAATAAAAAAAAAGAATATATTTTACATTTTAAAAATTACATTAAATTAAAGCTTTCCATGAAATCAATGGTTGTTAAAATAGGGTGCTTAAATAAGTTTTGTATTTATGATTTGAATTTAATTTAAGTTCACATCTACAATTACTGGACTTTTAATAAAATGTTTAAAGTGTTTGAAAATTAACTTTAAAAGTAAAATGTTTGTCTTTTTTTTAAGTTTTATGTTTGTATGTATAGGATTGTATTTTTATTTTGTCTTTATTTATTAATTTGTACTTAGGAAATATGTTTTTCAATTCCTAAATTTTTTAAAGTATTTGAAAAATAACTTCTTGTTTTGTCAAGGCTTATAATTGTTTGTATTTTTAATTTGTCTTTATTAATTATTTTGTACCAAGTAAATATGTTTTGCAATTTCTAGTTGCTTAAAAGTATTTCAAAATCATTTTTAAACCGTATTTTCTTATATTTTTGAAAGTATTATGTTAAATTTTCCTATGTTTTTCTTAGCTGAACATACGAATGTATATGTATATATATATATAATCACATTAGAAGTTTATTTATTATCCTGTCCCTAAGATATATTTTAACTGGGCTGTCAGTTGACTTGGCAACAAAACAAAATCTGCAAAGTGCAGCCAGCGCAGAGCGCATCCAATAAGTTCATTGCCAAATGGGCCGACCCGAGTGCCTACATCTCCATGCACTATGTGCACTATATATCCACCTTCCCATCGGGTTTTCGCCACCGAGTGCGAGTCCGAATCCGAATCCGAAAGCGAAACTGAAAGGGAAAGGGAAACCGATACCAAAACCGAAAAACGAGACTGCAACGAGTGCTGCAACTTCGGACTTGGGGGGAGGCATGCCACTCGCACTCGCACTCGCGTGGCAACAATCGTCCAGGGCACACGGCACTCACGCAGAGCAGCCGGAGGAGCAGATAACCATAGCTTCTGGAGGGGGGCGGTGGCGCCAGAGTCATAACCCGAACCACGTCCAGACCCGCCGGGAATCCTCAACCGCCTCATCTAATTTACACCGCTTTGATTGGGGCACGCAGTAAGTTGATTACCCACAGCCCTTTGCCGTTTGCCATTTGCAACAAGTAACAAGAGTGGGCGGTGGTTGGTGTGTGGTGGGTGACGACCTTGGCCTGGTTTAGACACTTGCCTTAATTGCATTTCGTCGTCATTGCAGCGCAGCGCAGCGCACATGGTGGAGGAGATTGGTTGCCAGAGACAGACGGGCATTGTGGTCGCCATGCCCAGCCAGGTGGCATCGAGCACCGGAACTCCAGCCCCAGCCGCCGGCGGCATTCACCAGCAACAGCAGCAACACCAGCAACAGCAGCAACATCAGCAACAGCAGCAACATCTGCAGCAGCAGCAACATCAGCAACAGCAGCAACACCATCAGCAGCAACAACAGCAGCAACACCATCAGCAGCAGCAGCAACACCATCAGCAGCAGCAACACCATCAGCAGCAGCAGCAGCAACACCACCAACAGCAACAGCAGCAGCAGCAACAACTCACCAGCAATATGAGCCTGCTGACCATCAAAGGCGGTGGTCGTTACCTTTGGACCGATCGGGAGCTGCTAATGCATCTGCAGAACTATACGCCGCTGATCCTGCTCATCGATTTCGTGGAGAAGACCCGCACCAAGCGATTCTACGAGAGCTCCGAGCGCTACGAGATCCTCATGCTGGTCTTCATCATGCGCAAGGGGGCGCCATTCTGTGAGAACAAGCGCTTTCCGGCCGAATATTGGGTGAATCTCTCAGTGGGACCCATTGCCGAGGCCTTTGATCGTCTGCAGGCGGCCATCGATATACCGGATCCGCAGCTGCCCATCCACATGAGCGTCACCGATTTGACCAGCTGGAAGCAGATGTTCGACCTGGCCATGCTGGACATCAGGCGCTTTGCCTACTACACCGATCCCTTGCAGCTGGCCGATGCGGGCGTCTTCAATCGCATCACCTTCGAGCAGCGATTCGGAATGCAGTGGCAGGAGTAGTGGATGTTGGATATGAATATGAATATACAGGATATACAGGACATATAGGTCACAGGAATATAAGCACAACCCCAGCACCGACACACAGTTCCCCACATTTTGATGGATCGCGAGGGAGGGTAAAACATATATATATTGAGCTAATTACCATCGTTTTTTTTTACATGCATTTGATTTACTAACATATATATTTTACAATTCTTAAGACAGAGGTACAAGGTATTTAGTTATTATAAATATTTGTATGAGGTAATTGCAAAAAAAGACATTCAAGCCGAAGTATTCCCTTTCATATTATTTAAAAAAAAGAATTATCTTTAAACTTAAAAATATACTGTCGTTACGAGTCTACAATGTAACTAAATATGCTTAAAAATTATGCATTGCATGAACAGAGTATAAACTGACATAATTAGTTTTTTGGATTACTCTTTTAACAACGAACAAGAAGCCGATAAATTTTAAACTTGCAAAAAATGCTCTAGATCCAACTCTACAATGTAACTAAATATGCTTAAAAATTAGGCATTGCATGAACAGAGTATAAACTGACATAATTAGTTCTTGGATTACTCTTTTAACAACAAACAAGATGCCGATCCATCCCCTTCCACATAGACAGAGTTATTTGTTGCGTTGAAGTCCCTGCATAGCGATATCTACGGTGCCTTCTCCACCACTCCTCGTCCTCCTTTTGCGCCACACAGCTTCACTCGCATTCCAACTTCATCTCTCCTCCGCTCCGACTCCTCAAATGTATCTGTAATACAAAACCAATGTACTGTCAACGTAGGACCCAAAATGCTTTAATGGAAATAAACGTTAGTTACTGTTCAAACGACTATTTATCTCTGTAAAATTGTGATAAATCCTCTATGCGCGCAATACTTACTTCAAAAAATATCTTTATATACAATTAAGCTATGGCTAAACTCTTAATTACACTTCGGCGACCTCCTCGACAGTCCCATTGCACTGGGAGATCAGGTGATCCTGGCTCATTGCTGCCGCTTGGGCATGCGTTCCCGATCGAAGATGCCCAGCAGCTTCCCGCGGGTCATCTCTTTGGCCTCGCGGAGTCCCAACTGATAAATCTCGTCATGCATCGACTTTATCTTCTCGATCAGCTCCTCGGGTCTGAGCTGCGATAGTTCTGGATGAGAAAATATAAGGTTTAAACGGATATTCTTCGAATTTTATAGGTTCCTCTTAGCTAATATTTTCCATTTCCTTTGAAACTAAACAAGTATCGTCAATACTTTCTATCTAAATTATTTAAATAATTTCTATTATATATTTTCAAATACATATTTTAAAATTTTAGATAAAAACCTTTATAGAACTATCCAAATAATATATTATGTTATTATTATAATTGTATGGAACCCAAGCCAGAACTAATGTAATAAATATAAATTTCCAACCAAATGGCTATAGGTAAAACTATCCAACATTTTTTTTTTTGTGGAACAGAACCCCAGGAACCAAAAATATGTATTCTTGTCCTCCTATGAATTTTACTTATACTTGGTATAGTTCTGGAATAGATAATACAAGTATTAACAGGTTTCTCATTCTTAATATTTTACAATTTTTGGAACTAAATAATATCTACTGTGCTGCATATTAAATACCTTTATTATCACAATTATAATTATAAATAATTTATATTATAAATTTATTAGAATTCTATGGATCACAATACAGGTATATATAAAACCCAAGCAAGGAATAGTGTGCCATCTATGGTGTACGTATACCTGCCCCTACAAGGCTCCCTTGGACTTGGTAGTTACTCACGATTGATCTTGGCCATGTCCTCGCTGGTCAGGTTGTTAGAGTAGTCCGTGGTGCGCGTATAGATGGGCGTATCGCTCATGGTGAGGAACTCATCCATTCCAGGAACTAAAAACACACACCGAAATAGACGTTAAAAATGGCGCCAAATTTGGGAAAACACACGTTTTTTACACTCACATCGCTCCGGCCACTGGACAGGTGAAGCGCGCAACGTTTCCAGCGAGATGAGCTCGTCCTCCGGCGTGTCCGGCTTCCTCTTGGCCTCCGGCTGTTCCTCTCCGGCGGATAACCTGCTTCTTCCGGACGCCGTAGCCTCGGCCACTTCATCGTCTGTTTTCAGAACAGTTTCTACAAGATAACCAGTATTTAGTGGGGCTCCCAGACTTCGTAAGCTTTACGCACCTGGCGCATATAACTCCGCAGCTGGCTCGGCTTTGCTCATATTTAAGAAGTGCAAAAAACTACTACAAAAACTAAATAAACAGAAAAACGCAATAATGTTGTGGCTAAGTTAATCACTTGCCATTAGGTTGAATAAACAATGCAGCGTTACCACCCGATAGCTATCGCATACTATCGATTAACACTACTGTCAGTGCTGCAAAATTCCGGGATATATAAATCAATTATATATTTTTAGTGCACAAAGGACTGTTAACTTTGCTTATTTATATCTTTCTTGTTATACATAAATAAAATGCAAAAATAACAGGAAATTAAAGTGAATTAATTAATTTAAATTGGGAGTGGAGAGCAGGCAAGTAAAGCAACGGTACCCTACCCCTTCCCTCCCACAACCACAGTCGTGCTCTCGTTCTTTCTCACGCTTCGCCAACGGCGCATAGAGACAACTCTGCGCGAGGTCGACTGCTCTCATTCGCTCTCACGGTAAAAAGCATTTGGCACACTGCGCACAGTGACCCCTAAAATTATATGCCCGACAAAAGCACATGTGCCCCAATTGTCTAAGCAACAGATGTTTTATTAGTTGTAGAATCTAGTTTACTTGATAAACTTTATTTTCTTATAGGGCACAAAAATAGGGCTTTGGAGAGCGTTATTTATTCTAAGCTAAGCAGATATGATTTAGTTCAGCTTGATATAGATTTTTAAAAACGTGCTTGATCACAATTGTTTAAATTTATAAATGGAACGTGCTATAAAATAGTTGTTAAAAACGTATGTTTTCTTAAAATCTTAGATCCTGTTAACTAACTACTATTACCTAAACTAACTTAAATAAAATTTAATAAGGAGATGCAAAATTTCTGTAAAAAACTATAGTAGTTACTTTAAGAACCTGCATCTGGTCACACTGTACGCGGCGCGCAGACTTTTGGTCGTCACTGTTTTCCCATGCGCTCGCACTTTCTTTCAGTCGCTCTCACTCTGCACACACACACACACCTGTTCCGCTCCCCCGCCTTCTCCCCTCTTTGGCGACCTTAGTGCGACCGCGACCCGTTCCGTTTTTATTTTTTTTCGATTCAGTTGCCGTTTTAACTCCGCCGCGCGCGGAAACTTTTTCAGTCCGCTTTAAATAAAAAGAAAATAAAATACTGCAGCGCGCTGCACTTTCGTGTCTTTGGCGCCAATTTCAAAAAACGAAATCCGCTGGCGGATTCAATTCAACTGTGTGAAGTTTTCCTATTTCTAATTTCTCGACCGCCCCGCCCCCCGGATTTTCCCACGCCCCCGCGCTGCGACTCCCATGGCAGCTAGCAAATTTAATTGCGGCAAGCTACCGACAGCCACACATTTCGATGCGACATGTGCGAAAATCAGCGCCTTTTACTTTGACCTGGACAACACGTTAATTCCGACGCGGGCCGGCGATTCCAAGGCGATCAGAAAGGTGAGCCACAGCCACCACTTTTTAGCCCCCTTTTCCGCCTTTAGTTTTTAGCTTTTTTTTTTTTTTGGGGGGTGAAAGTGCGCAGCGCAGCTAGAAAATTTTCCACTGCAGCCCGCCGCCGCCACCGCCACCGCCTGTTGTTACGTGGTCGAAAAAGCAAAACCCGGACGCTCAGCTGATAGCACGCGCCCGAAATTCGATTGTTTATTTGCGTTCCGTTCCGTAACGTCTCATTTCACCCCGCCTCGCCCCTCCCCTTCCGGCCCCAAAATGCAAGCACTAAGTGCACTTCCACAAGGTCTTAACTTAAATATAACCACGGGGGTATATGCACTCGAGAAGGTTATCGGCATGTTAAAAGCCGAAAAAATATACGAGAATACTCGGTCTATATCTCCTCAAGTTTACTTTTAACTTTCAAAATCCTACCAAGTAAATAGCCCAGGAAAGGTGAATGACATTTTATAGGATATACGATATAATTGAAATATAAATCCTGGTAAATGCAGTACAATGAAATCAAATTATTGTTTACTTTTCAAAGCTTTGGGTTAGTTTTTTAAATGGAATTTTACATTCTTAGAGATTGCAGCAAACTTTAAAAGAACCGAACGGCTTAAATCTCGAAACTTAATCACTCATTTTTAATATATCACCGAAAACTGGTGGCAACAATTTACAAAATAAAATATCTTAACTTAAATGCCAGTTTTCAAGATCCCAATAATAGAACCCAACAAAGTCAAAGATTATAACTTAAACCATGGGTATATGAACCTTAAGGGGTTATTGACATCTTAGCTATGATAATAAATAATACGACAACAAAGAGCTTTTTATTTTGAGTCTTTGAATGGTGTTCAAAAATATATTGCCAACTCACCGAATTTCAAACGTAATTGAAAAAAATTACAACATACAATTAACAATATTTTTAAGGCTATTTTCGAAAAGAGTCTTTTAATGATAGGTATCTTACCTTAACGATTAAAATACCTTTGCTTAAATACAAAAATAAATTAAATTTTATTTTAAAATCGAGAGCTTTTTGGTTCGAATAAATCGTCCCAAAACCCTTTATTTAAAATGCTTACTTAGGTATTAAGAAATGTGGGTTAACGTTCAGTAAACCAAAGCATTGTATTAGCTTTTGAAATAGCGAAAATATTTGTATTGTTGGCCATAAACATCTTGTTATCTCCACTTTACCTTTAACGATGCTTAACTTATAAAAAGAAAGCGACGCGTTAAAACATTGAGTATGTCACGTACATTTTCGTACTTATTGCATTCCTGATAATTAAATAATAGTTTAAGCTGTGCCAATAATGATATCACATTTCTGTCTGACTACGCAGTGTTCAGACCCTGAATTAAAGCCATGGTTAATAGGCAGTTTCCTTTCTTTATTCAGTTGTTTTCAATTATTATCAGACAGAAGAACCACACCCATTTGATATTTCTCAAATTCACTTAGCGTATCACGTTACGCGTGTCATTTAAGATGGGATCAACTTTTTGCTGATCAAACTGAACTTTCTGCTTCGGCAATGACTTATTTTGTCGGTTTGCATAAACTACGTGGGGAAATCATACGACTCTTAATGTAAACGTATTTATCCAGAATCGTTTAGGGGGAAATATGATAACTAATGGAAATTTCCGTGCTATCATTACGCCCATAACTGTGAGTATGTATATATGTATGTGGTATATATTATATGACAAGTGTATCGGCGGCAATTGCAGTTTGATGATCAATGCACTGATAGGGCGGCGATGCCTTAATGATTACGGCATTAAGTACGATTAATCAATTGACTCCGATTCGATCGGATGATTGAACAAACTATATGAACGTAATAGTTCCGATTTGCGTATTACTAAATATCCCTGAACATCAAAGTTTTAACAATTGTTATTTCAATGCGTAAAAAATAAAGCGTAAACATCTATATTTTTGTAGTCTTCATGAATCAATCTACACAAACGCGAGCATCTTTATTTTCAATTGATTAATGTTATCTACGTTAATCAATATATATATATATACATATATATAAATATCTGTGTCAACCCCTAAAAATAAACATTTTATTTTCTTCTTAAACATTTAAAAATACTTTTGTTTTGTTTTCGCTGGTAAGATTGAAATACAAACTCTATTCAATTTTATTAGTACATGGAAAATAATAGAAATAATTAAAGAAAATGCTTGTGCTATCATTATTTTTTTAAAATGTGATTCACTTTTAACTAGAACGTGAAAGTTCTTAGCTTATCTCGTAGCTATAGGCTTATCACTTTCAATGTCTGCGGTTTTTATAACTTTATCATATCTTCAAACCGGAAAAAATTAATTTCACCTTAAAGTTAGAAATATATGAAAAATATTTCAGATTATCTGGCGATATTATGGCATACATACATACCTAAAAATGAATTTTTAATAAATATATTTAATTTATTTCCAGCTCGCGGACGTTTTGGAGAGTCAGTACCAGTTCAGCAAGGATGACGCCGCTCAGTCCAGCCAGAATTTCCTAAAGGCATTTCGCCGCTGTCCGGACAACTCGCAGACGTCGCTGGACTCGTGGCGCACCCACCTGTGGCGTGAATCCCTGCCAGCGCGCCACAAGCACCTGGCGGAGCAGATCTATCCGCAGTGGCTGAAGCTGCGGTACCGCTACCTGGCCGTTCCCGCCGACTATGTCCAGCTGCTGCTGCGGATGCGCCAGGCGGGCTACGCCCTGGCCCTCATCACGAACGGACCATCGAATGCCCAATGGGAGAAGGTGGCCAAGCTGCATGTGCGCGGCTACTTCGACTGCGTCCTCGTCTCATCGGACCTGCCCTGGGAGAAGCCGCATCCGGAGATCTTCTACGCCGCCTGCAACTTCCTCAATGTCAAGCCGCATGAGTGCGCCATGATCGGCGACAAACTGGAGACCGACATTATGGTGGGTCAGGGTTTTATTGGGCTATTAAGATTAATAATATTAGATTATATTAAATAGCTATATAGTAACTAAGATATATAGCAACTAAGATTATTAGTAGCAAACCGTGACCTTTTTTTGACAAAATAATTGCATGTAAGAGAAAGATGACAATATTAAGTTGTATGGATTAAAAACAAATAAATTATTAACAAAGCCTTAGGAATTAGGTATATTTATTAAATATTTAAACTTTAATGTTGTATTATTATTATATTTTTTTATTTTGTTATATAAAAAGGTTTATATTTCATTAAATTTTTAGTAATGTATTTAAAGTAGTTTTATTATAATTATTTTTAACTTTGATATATAAAAGTTTTATATTTCATTTCATTTAATATATCATTTGATAGTAAAATTGCTAAACCAAGTTTTTAATAATTTTGTATAATATGAAAATTATGTATGTTAAAGATAATTTTATATAAGATATTTTTAAAAATATCATTTGCTATATGAAAAATATCAATTATAGATTTAAAACAATTGTTTTTAACGTTTTATGATAATCTAGTAATTTTTATGTTACTATATTATATGAATAGGTATCAAAAATGCCCTTTAAGATATAATAGTTTAAATGATTGCCAAATAGATTAACTAATCATGTCTCCGTGTTGTTTTCAGGGTGGTCACTTGGCCCAACTGGGTCTCACCTTCTGGACGCCACTGAGCAACAGCAGCTCGGCAGCTCAATCGCTGGAGGATGTGGAGTACAAGCCGCACGTGAAGCTGGGCAGTCTGCTGGAGATGTACAAGTACTTCCCGCGCCTCAATGCCGTCGCTCCGCCGGACACGGCCTCCACCTCCCGGCGTCGTGGCAGCCACATGAGTCCCACTGGCCAGAGCTCCTCTAGCAACGGGAGCGGGAGCGGTAGCAGCTCCAGTTCCAGTTGTGAGCCGGGAGCTGGCCACGGGTACCATCATCTCCAGCACCAGCACCAGCACCAGCAACAGATGCAGCAGAGGCAGAGGCTCTATCGACGTGGCGTTTCCCTGCCCGCCATGGATTGCTCCAACAGTGAGGCGGAGAACAGCTGCGACAGCTTTCTCTAGACCCAGACAGAGAAGTCTAAAAGGATCGATCGCAAGGATCAAATACAGATCGGGAGATATTGTTGAAAAATGTACCTTCAGTTTACAAAACTATAGCTAAAGAAAAGGAGAGATCGTTGGAATGGTAATGGAGTAATAACCACAGATGGACGAAGGACAGCCAGGAGAATTGGAAACGAATGCAGGAATTTAAAGTTCAACTATTAGCGGGAGGAGCCCGGTGCAGCACGGTGAATCTCGATATCTGCCATTAGACTAAAATTAGGACTAGCAAAACAAACAGCATCAGAGCACACACACACACACTCACACACACACAAACTACAGCATACAAATACTACAAGCAAAATAACTAAGAAAATCGAGGACAGGAAGCAGAGCAAACCAAATGTATTTTTCTAAGCGAATTTTCTGTCACATATTTTGTAAATTGATATAACACGCAACTGAAAGTACGTCAAGGTAACACAAAAAACACACAAAAAAAAAAAAAAAAAAAAAAAAAAGTGAAAATGAAAATGATGAAGTAAACCAGACAAAAACCACATTAACAAACCTTTCGAGACACTAACGAACAAAAAAAAAAAACAAAAAAATAAGAAAAACCGAGGCACTAACAAATCTGTAGTTATAGCATGACGATGGATGTACGTGAATGTTAACTATTGTCTTAGTCTTAGCCTTTAGCCGGGTTCGAATTTGTGTGAGCCCCACACTCTGTTGGCAAATTGTTATTTGCAACCACCTCCTCCCCATTTACCCACGCCCCAAAAAAAAAACCCCTGGTTATTCCGCACCCACGCGAAAAGTTGATGATATATATGGTACATACATATGCCAGCATGCGTATGTCGAAAGCACTGTTGATCATGGATATGGAAAATAAATGACACTGCAAAAGCTAAAAATTATGGAGTGTTTTCGTTGGTACACCCGGGGGGCATAACTAGTCATACATCTCTTAGTTATGGAAGCTTTTAGAGGTATTCCACTTTACAATTGAGTTTTATTGTGCCAAGTTGCAGGCTTTTAAAATTCTTTCTTGCCACCCATCGGAAACTTAGAATGGCTATAAAAATTAGCTAATTTCAATGCAGATTAATGGTAAATTAAAGGAAAATTAATATGACAAAATATGTAAGATATAATTAAAAGTTTTTAAAGATTAATTGATTTATACATGCATATGACTAAATGAAAATTAATGGTATACCAATAAAAAATTGGATTTAAAAGGGTAAAGTTATTTGGAAACAATAAGTATAGAGTTTAAGCACAAAACAATGATATATATAATTAAAGATTTTAAAAGACAAATTGCTTTATATATGCATCTCTTTCTAAGACATGCAATATCAAATAATCCAATCATAATATTCCAATTCCCGCCATAAAATCAAAAGAAAAATCGATTCCTTTTAATCATAGTAAAATAAGCTTGATTTTGTTTTTATTTATTTGGGGGATTTTGTTGTTTATAGACTACAAATACGCTATACGGTAAAATGGTATATCGCTTGCAGAGTCAGCAAATAAAAGTTATAACCAACACTGAATTTTTCGCAGTTTAATGCTAACGTCAACTGGCTGTATAATTGTTTGTTTTGTTTTTTTTTGTCTCCTCACATATACCATACATACATATACACACGGTTATACATATACATATATAATTATAATCAAAGTCACGTACACGTAAAAAAAAAATCGGTTACAAATTACACGTTTTAAAAAGATCGAAAACGGAACATTTTCACGCGATACCGAGGCATATTGAAAATTCGGCTGGCTAGCTAGGCTTGCTCTTGGCTTTTCTTAAGTTCGTTATTATTACGCATTTTAGTTTCTTTTACAAAAGAGCACTTTTCAGACTACAAAATACCCTAAGAACCTTTTACTGGAAATGGATTATACATAGATAATGGACAAAAAGAGTAGGAAAACGTAACGTTAACGTAAACGTAACATAACATGGAGTAGTTGTTTTGTAGAGGTTGTTGTTATCGTAGTAGTTAATAGCAGTTGTTGCTGTCGTCGTAGTAGTAGTATATAGTAGTAGTTATCGTTTTTTGTAAAGCATTGTACAACTTTTCCGCTTAAGTGTTAAACCGATGGTTCACCCATCCTACGTCCTACGCCCATCTCACTCCGGAATTGGCCGTGTTGGTTGCTCTGGCTTATTAGCTTAGTTGCGTGTCGCACTGCTTGCATAGATCTTCTCGATCTCCTCGATCTTTTTCCTGCGCTTCGTCAGCAGCGGATTGTTCGACTTGTCCAGCGCCTTGATTTGCATCTAAAGAATAGGAAATAATACGTGTTATTATAGTAAAATATTCAGAGGGACTTCAGATAAATTACTATTTCGTGGGAACACAAGTGCATTTTATGAAGATTGTTTTAATTGGTTGGAATATACAATATACAACGAAGCTTGAGTATCTAGTATTCTAGGCGCATTAACCTCCGTTTACCTTGTTGGTTTTTATAATTAGTGACTTTCTAGAACACGATTAAAACAAAAGGAAGGAAAAAAGCTTGCTAATTGCCAAAGCATACGCTATATCGATTGAAATCTATTTTCCTAATATATAAACAAGTGTACCGCAAAGGTGGCACACAATATATTGTTAAAAACAAATGAGTAATGTTATATAATAGAATGAAATTGGAAAGAAAGCAATTTATATTATTGAAGCCTTATGCCATGTCTCATGATAATTGTTTAATCCTTTAAGTAGGCTTTCAGTTAAGACTACACTTTAAGACTACTCTTAAGACTTACAACTTTTTTAAAGATTGACCCTCATTCAAAACTAACTATTATTTAAATCCTGAATTAAAATTATCCATATATTAAAGCCTAAATCCCCACCTGATCGTAGTCCACGCGCATGGTGGCCAGTGAGCGCGTCATCTCCTCCTGCACTTCCGGCCAAGTTTCCTCGCTCTCCTTGAGCATACGACCCGTGCAAAGTGGCGTCTGTGGAACGGCATTGAATTGGGCGATCCACTTGTTGCGGATGACGTCCTGGATGCGCAAACGCTTGCTGGGATCTACGTTGAGCATGCCCTTGATCAGGTCCTTGGCCGCCGGGCTCACGTTCGTCCACTCCGGATCGGGAAAGTCGTACTGGCCGGTGCGGATGCGCTTCTTCATGCCCGGCGAAATGGCCATGCCGTTGTTGCTGTAGAACGGCGGGAATCCGCACATAATGATGTACATCACCACGCCCAGCGACCAGATGTCACAGCTCTTGTCGTACTTCTCCGGACCCAAAACCTCGGGAGCTGTAAAAAATGTTTACGATTAAAATATGAATATTTAGATAGAACAATTAAAGTAAGAGGAGTAAACTAAAACAATAACTGATATAGGAAAAGTCAGGAAGTTGTTTACAAAATAAACTAATGTATATAAGGTTAGTATAAACAATAAACTGTCTACACTGATGTGTAAATGAATAGATATACCATTTCATAAGCTTATCAGCAATCTCGTTAAGATTTCTTGCAAATTAAGTGGGTCGCACGGTGCAACTTTCATACAACACTTTCGCAAGTGGAATTGAGAACAAGGCTGAATAAAATTAGAGAAACTATAAGGAAAGTTCACCCAATAAATTATGCAACGAGGTTGCATAGAGAAAGAATCTCTGGTGATTTAGAAACACCAGTTAGATGTGTGACATTGCATTGTACCTATTCTCCACTTTACAATCAGTTTTGTGGCACAGAAATATAAATCAAATTAGTGTCATGCAATTTCCGGCCTGAAAAATGCAACTGCACAGTGAACAGAGGTGTTTTAACAATTTTAAAGCTGTTTCTCGTGACTAATGCGGTGTTTGACATGATTTTAAGACTAGGAACACTCACCCACGTAATAGGGAGTGTAGCAGGGCGTCTGCAGTGTGTCATTGGTAAAGGTCTCCTTGGCGAAGCCAAAGTCCGTCAGCTTGAGGATCGCATTCGGCTGCGAGGTGGTGTACAGCAAGTTCTCCGGCTTGAGGTCGCGATGCGCGATATCGCGACTGTGCAGATAGTCTATCGCCACGCAGATCTCGTGCATTATTTGGGCCGCCTCGCGCTCCGTGAAGGCGCCATCCGCCTTGTCCTGGATGCGCTGGAAGAGCTCACCGCCCTCCATGCACTCCATGACCACCAGCAGGCACTTGCGGCCGCTGTACGTGTTCTCGTACACATCGATGATGTTCACAATGTGCCGGCATCCGCTGACCCGCCAATGCAGATCCACCTCGCGACGGGCCTTCTCATTATCCAGCAGCACCTTGAGCGCATAGTTCTGTTTGGTGCGGCGGTTGGTGCACTGCACCACCTTCCCGTTGATCCCCAGTCCCAGAACCGTGTCCGAGATCTCGTAGTCGTCCACCAGGGCGGTGGTCTTCGGTTGCCGTTGGTTCTGCAGCGAAAGCATTCTGGAATCGGCTGATCTCTAACTGCAAAAAGGGAAATGTTCAGTAATATTATCACTCTCTGTTTATCATTTAAATAACTCAGATAACTTTGTATATGTTTTATTTGTTTTACTAAAATTGCAAACATATAATTAAACTTTATTTGTTAATATTAAATAGCTTTTCAACTGATTTAAAGTTGCTTAAAAAATCAATCATAATCAACATCTGAAAAATCTGTTCATAATAAATCAGTTTTCCAACGAACACTTTTTAAATGCTTGCAGTATTAAACATTAAGCTAACTGCTTACAATGTATTTGTAATTATTCAAAACCTAAACTACTTCTTATTAAGTTTTACATTTATTTTAGGCCTGGTTAATTTATAAATAATCTCTTCCTGATTCGAACATGAATAGAAATGGAATATTTGTGCAATTTTAACAAACTATCAATAATAAACATTTTTAATGGCCATACCCTTTCCACATATTAATGGTTAATACACACCCAATTATGGTTAACAATTTATTGGCAACTTATTTGTTTAATGATTTTGTGGTTAAATTGAGGGTCTCAAAAAGTAGCTGCTCTGAAGCAATAAATTGTATTTAATTATAATCTTTTTTCAAAAGTGAAGTTCATTTAAGCTAGGTGTGGGGCAATTGACTATTTAATTACTAACAATTAAGTTTGCAGGGCGAAGTGTTTTGGGAATCCCGCTTTATTTCCGGATTTTTAGCCCGCGTTTCATTTAAAATAACCATTTGCCACAAACAAACCGTTTGGTTACTACTTAAAAAAAAGAAAATTATCCTGTAGATAACGATAAGACAATCTAAAACCAATAGAAAAGAGAGGGAAAATAGGCACCGAAAAAAAATTAAGTTATAATCCTAGGAATAACATGATGCTTAAAAATATGTATCAGGGTCTGTTTTATGTGGTTTATTATATTTTCTTATATTTAATATCCAAAGATATAAGAATTATTATTATTGAAAATTTAGGATTTGGGATGGTACATAAAATAAAAAAGTTTTAAAAGTGAATTTAATACAACATTTTTAAAACCCAAAACATGTTTTTGTTTTTTGTTTTTTTGATAATACATTTCGTATTACCGTATAAGATATTTATTTAAGCGTGTAAAGCTTCGTTTTTTTTTTAGTTATCCGGCCTTATATATTGATATGCAGATCCAAAAAACACTCGAAGCGCTCCGATCTCTCGACTTGATTCAAATTGCATGCAAATAGACTTACAGGAAAACAGAAAAAATATCAAGAAAATCAGGGGACGGGGGCAGTGGGTGGGGTGGCTAATTAAACCCACTCTCGCTGCATATTTCCATGTTTTTCCGGGGAAAAAAAACTGTTACACAATTTTTTTTTTACGGGGAAAACATTGCATATGTTCGACATCAGTAATCGCTAAATATCGATAGGCGCTACAGGGCAATTGTGTGCGTGCGCGGTGCTGATGAAATTAATGCTTCATTTTTTTATGTTTTTGTTTATTTCTGGCACATTACGCATTGCCGAAAAAAAACCATTTTTTCTCTCCTGTAAAATTGGTTAATTAACGCGTATTTTACTACCCACACACACACACACACACACACACTTGCACCGAGCAGCCCGCGCACACACATTCACGGATATCTATACAAATGCAAACAATGCGTCATGTTTTCTCACTGTTTAACTAGCATTTTCTATTTTTCTGGTTTTCACTGTACACGGCAGTACATTTTTTTATCTTGTTATCGCTTTTCGATCGTTTTCAGGTGGCCCAGATTTTTGCTGGCCATGCGATTTTATACGCCTGCCGACCGCTCTACTGAATATATCCCGCTTTATCACCTGCTGTTCAGCTGATCGTATTTACCTTTCGGGTATTTATTGAGCGTGCTATGTAACCGAACGAAAAAAAAGAACAACAACCCGAAATTTATAGTTATTTATGTGTAAATGCCAAGTAGTGTGACCAGGCGGCTCTGAAAGGAAAATACTAAAAAGTGTCGTGAGCGACGATTGTGCCGTCTCTAACGAATTCAATCGATGGCTTGGCTTAAAAAACGTATCGATTAAATCGAAATGGAAGTAAATTATTTGTATTCAATTGAAATATGTTTTAAAGTAATATTGAATTCTTGAAATCGTATAATTAATATTGTCGGGCAAGATATTATTAACTATCTTACTAAACCTGGAAAATTTTTTGTAAATTGAAAGACATTTCTATTTTCCATATAAAAGATTACAATTTCCCATTATAGATTCATTGTTTTCTAAATCTATACTTTTTGCAGGTAAACACTTATTCATATGTTTATTTTTTCCATTCGGATGATTCTAAAATGTTATGTTATACTTTTTTGAAAACTTTACATTGAAAGATAGATAAAGAAACAGACCGAGATGTTTATATCAATTTGTCTGGTAATGCTAACTACTATATATTCTTTTAATAGTTGGAAATGTCAAATATAGTGCATTACAAACTTCAGATCAAAGTTATTAAGCCCCCAGAACTATCGATACATTCGATTTTTTTCTTGGCAAGCCGTCGTGGCTATCGTTGCCCTCCCATCTCTACTACCTGCTGTCTACAATTAAAAAGTGGTAAATGTTGTTGCCACGGCCAAATTGACGATGCGTCGCGTCCGCTGAGCCTCGTGTCCGCACCCGTGAGGACCCGTATCGCATCCCCGAGATCCGTGCTCTGGGACTCCGGAAAAGCCACCAAAAAACCCAGTATTCCAACATTTTTCGGTTCCCTTTTTATTAGTTTGTTATTGGCAAACGTACTCGCCAGGATATACCAGGCAAAATAAGATAAACAAAAGGTGGAAAAGTATACATCTCCTCGCCCGATTTAGTTACGGATAACGACGATATGTCGCAGGTGCTCAGCCCCCACAAACAGGGCGTGGCAGAGGCGGCGGACGGGCTGGACTACACGAACAGCAGCTCGATCATCGAGTTCCTAGCCAAGGAACAGGACTGCGGTGGCATACTGACTGATCCGGATCCGGAATCAATTTTCCAGGAGGTGAGTCGCCTATCGGACAACACGGACATGCGGTCCGTGGACGAGCTGTTGCAGGAGGCGGAGCGCCTGATCCAACAGCAGTTGCGTCTGGGCGGCATGGTCCCGGAAATGCATACCCCCCAGAAACCGCTTGGATGTGAGGATGCCGTTGCCCCCGGCGATGGCTCCTCCTCATCCCCGCAGTCCTCGCCGCACAGCAGCATCCGACTCAACACACGCTATACCCATCGCATCGAGCATTTGCCCGCTCCCTTGCCGCCAAAATCTGCCGGAATCAATGGGAAAATCCGGCCAAGATCCGGTTCTAAATCCTCAGCATCGCCCACATCCGTGCAGACGCCATTGGACAGCAACAATGGCTGTGGCTTTGCCGCCTTCGTGGACAACCTGCCCTCGGCATCGGTCATTTCCGAGGAGTCCACGCCCAAGGACATGAACATGGAGAACCACACGGCGGCCATGGCCCAGCTGCAGATCCAGCTCCAGGATAACACGGATGACGACGAGGACACGGTGAGTTCAAAGGTTTTATTTCAGAGTTCACCTCACCAGCTTTTGTTTTTATTAAATCTTATTGGTTTGGAAATGGTTTAAATCCATTCATATTCCAATTCGATCGATATTTTTGGGGGGAGATCTGCATTTCATATAAGATTTGAATGATGGATTTTCCCAGATGTTTAGAGATGGTTAAAATCCATTTATATTCCAATTCAAGGCTTGAATTGGGATTATACATATTATTGGGGATATCCGCTGATCATATAAGATTTGGAGATTTCACATTTAGGATTTATCTGCGATCTCATTCAACAAATACCAATTTAAAATAAAATAAACTTTAATTAATGCACCGTATTTGTCAACCTGTTTTGTATTTTTCAATAGAGAAAGGGTAATTAGTCTGTATTGTTTGTTTAATTGATTGATAGAAAGTATATTTATTGAGATTTCCGTTATGAGAACCTCTAAAACCGCCAAAAAAATTTCCAGTCGAACTATAGTAATAAATAGCATAGCTTCCGTTTATTGTCCGCCGTACGAATTCAAAGAGTACAGCAGCCCACCCAAAAATAAACACACTCTCTCACAGACCCAAACACGCAAACAAACCAACATAAATAATCCTTCAGGCACACATGCAGTTCAAACATACAAGGTGGGTTGTAAAAAAAACGTATTACAAATTAGACCAAGATTTGGAGAAGATTGAGCCGTGTTCAAGTAGATGAACTGGGGCCAATTGCCTGGGCCACCGTTTCCGTCACAGTCCAGCCCTCGAGAGCTGTGTCCTTGATGAAACGCGGCGGCAGAACGAAACCGTATGCGCCACGATCCCTCAGCTCAATGGTGTACACATATTTAACGTTTAAAGCGGCACGACTCCAGTCGTCGGAGCCACCGCCTGCGATTCCCAGTACCTCGTGGGTAACGGCCGCTCTGTATGCCGTGCCCGTCTTCTGGACAATCCGCTCCGCTGCCAGGCTGGCCACCCGCTGCAGGACACCCGCATCCTTGACCTTGACGGCCTTGTAGGCCCACGGATAGACGATCATCTGACCGTAGCTGTGGAACGTCAGATATGCTTCCAAATTGTACTTTCGCTTCTCCAAAAACTCGGCCACCGCTCGCGTTTCCAGCTCCGAAGCTGGCGAGGATCCGCGGTAGGTGTCGCTGCAGGGATTGGTCGATGACCCGTAGCCATTCCAGCCGATATCGAAGTTCCGGTTGAGATCCACACCGTTGCACTGGGCGCGTCGCGATTTCGAGCGATTCTTGCGCCACAGGCGATTGGTCGTCCGGCTGTACTCGTAGCCATCCGGGTTCATCACCGGCATTATGTACCACGTCAGGCCACGGATGTGCTCCGGCTGGTTCTCCCAGTTGGACATCAGTTGGTACAGGATGAAGGTCACCGTCGCGGGACTGATCCATTCGCGGGCATGGATGCCGCCGTCGATCCACACCTTCTTGTTCTCGCGGGGATTCTCCGAGATTCTGGGGGGTTATATAAAATATATTAGATGTTTTTTTTTTAGCAGAATAGTGGGGTGAAATATTTTGGTTATTTTTTTTAAAGTATTCACAAGCGGTTCGTTTTCACAAATTCCTAATGCCTAAAAGTAGACCTTAAATTTTTAAATTCGCTTTAAAATACTTTATATATTTGAATACTTCTGGGCTTTTTTTTTAAGTTATTAAAAAAATTTGTTTATTATTGGTTAAGCCACACATGTAAGGTGTTTAATATAAATATAAATATATATTTTTGTTGATAAATATTACTTCTAAAGTGCAACATTTTAATAAGATAGAAATTTCAAGCATTTCTTGTCTTATAACGTAAAATTTAAATTATAAAAAAAGGCTTTCATATTACTTTATATTCCTAAAGAACCTGATTACAGCTTAAAGCCATATTTTTCAATAGCTTTTTTCTTAGCTAAATAGTTTCAACAGTGCAAAAAAGGTGTTTTTTGTTAAACTAAAATGAAACACCCACCTGAGCACTTTTAGGTCGCGACCCTGCTCCGTCTTGCCAATAGTATACAATCGCACAATGTTGGGAAACTTGCTGCGGATCTCCCGCATAAAGCTATATATGGTGTCCAGATCATGATAGTCCTTCCAGTGCATGCTGCTCCTCGCGGACTTTTCTGCGGTTCGTTAAGTATTGATAGATATTTAAAATTTACAATAAATGACCCTTCACTTACTCGTTCGACTTCCGTGGACCATCGAAGTGGCATCAATGCCTCCAATCAGCTCCTCGTCGATCATGGCTTGGACATTGTGGGACAAAATCTGGGGATCCAGACGGTGGGCGGACAGAAAGCTGCGTGCCGCCTTCAATTGATCCCTGGCAATGGAGATGTCCAGAAACTTGGAGTTCTCCTTCCATATGTTGCCCCCGAACTTCTGCTCCAGCATTTGTCCCACGGGCACGCGGTGCTGCATCGCCTCCGAGATGTTGTAGATCCTCCAGAGTTGCGCCTCATCGTATCGCTGGGGAATCTCATTGACATCCAGTTGGGTGAGGTTGGAGGGCAACTCGTTGGCTAGACAGGCCGCTATCAGTCCCATGAGGAGCAGCATCAGCAGATGGGTTTTTTGCGTAATCATCTCGTTGTGTCTATCAGCAGGTTGACCTGAAAAAAAATTCCGTAATCAGTAATCAGCTAATGAGATGGTAACCACACAAAACAATTCCATTTATTAACTTCTGATCAGTGTTGAATGAATAACTGACCTTGCAAAAACCCCTATTCTTTTACCATAAACTTGGCTTATTATGAAAACATTGACGATCACGATTTTTATATTGTTTTTGGTGGAGTCTATTGAGCCTCTAGTTGCTACTAACAAACAGTAATGACCATTGGCAGCCGATTGTTAAACTCTAAAGGTTAAAATAGTACACGCTTGTTTAGTTTGCAATAAAATCACGCTATTTATGGCCAAAGTACCTGCCTTTTCAGACTCACTTGAGCTGGAAAATAAACAAACCTTGGCTAACTTAGTAACAGTGAAAATGTCACATCTATTTGAAACATTTCTAGAGCTCATTTGCATATGTTAAACACTGCTAAGTGAACTAATAAAAATAGTTATTAACCTACAAATTTACACTCAAATTGAAATTCCTTAAGTAAACTATTATAAATGAGTTTTAAATCTGACCTTGTTGATAGTTATGATATACGTTTTACAGCAATTAAAATGGAACCAATTTTACATCCAACCCAGTCGTTCAGGTAGCGAGAACTGAATGCAAAACGAAACTAAAAGCAAACTCCAACTGGTATCAGTGAAAATAATTGTTACAGAAAAAGTTCGTCTAATTGCCGGCACAAAAAAAAAATATACAAAAATGTTTCCGTTTCATTGTTAATGGTTTGGGTTATCTAGATAGATGAATTACTCCTCGTAACCCTGCCATTTTGTGTGTGTTGCCATTGCCAATAAGTAATTAAAAACAGTAGATAGCGTTAATGGTATTGGAAACAATTTTTAATAGAGAAACACATATGTGATGGGGAATTTTCTTGCCTCATAAAGGTGTTTTTAGCTTTTATCACAATAGCAAAGAGAAAGGAATAGATACAAGAATTTCTTACTTTTCTGTTGTAATAGCATTCTAAATTTATTTTCACAATAATAGAAATAACTTTTCATTTTCAAAATATAGAAGACCTAGATACAATATACAATATTTGAGAGGTTTTAATAAATATCTTGTTTTGTGGGTGTATCGAAACTTGCATTCCAGACAGGCAACAACCATTATTATCAGTATACAGCCACTAAACGAATTTGCATTGTTTTATGGATTCTAGCGGCGATCGATCAATCGATCGTTTGGATCGTTCGATCCGTGGGTTCTCCCTGAATTCTCAGAGTTCCGGGGGCGTGGGGCTTATTTTGTTTTGTTGACTCAACCAGAGTTTCGTGTTAATGTCCCCGCTGCTTTGTATGCACAATGATAGATGGGATTTACTCAAACTGCGTCTTAGTGACTGGTCCCTAAGATCTAGATTATGGGCAAAGAAACTTTTCCTGGTCTTCTTACGGATTTCGAAACGTCGTTTTAACGCTTCTGTGCTAATTTCCCTGGCCCGTTTTTTTTGTTTCTTTTAGGTTTTGTTTTCATTTTGGTTCTTTTTTTATGGATGCGTATTTGTATTTTCGTGTTTATTTTCTTTTTATTGCCAGGCAGAAAGTGGCACTTGAACGGTGGAGAGGGTTGTCTCTGTTTCACTGAGTATCGTAGTCTCCGAACTCCCAGAACTGGTTCTCGGCTTGGATCTGACGGGCCTCGAATCTCGAATCTCGGATCTCAGATGTCAGATCTCGGGAGTCGAATGTGGAGTACGAACAGTTTCGGATTGGGTTTCGCTTTGTTTCGGTTTCAATTCGCTGCTGTTCACCTCGACCTTCGTGCCCCCCGTTCTCCTTCCATTAACTCAGTCATTTATACCTGCATGTCATTTCGAAATGTAAACAGTTTAAGAATACATTGTAAGATCTGTATCTGAAGCCGTGCAAGTAACATTTTGCTCCTAAATCTACTTCAACTTTGAACCAATGTCAGACCCACATTTAAGTTTAAGTTAAGGCGACAAAAGAACTCACTTCTTCAATCTTATTTATGTTGTGTCTGTTATTTATTTGTTTACACAAACTTTTTTTCAGTTTTAAAGAATTTTTTCTAATTTTAAAAAGCTTTTTAAATACGAATTTTCTAAATTCTTACCGTAGGAAAATATGTTTGTCAAATTGTATTTTCTACATATTGGTAAATACAAAGTTTCTTTTACTTATTTCAGTTAAATCGTTGACTAAGAGGCATATAAGCGCACTTTCCGTAAAAAAAAAAAAAAAATTAACAAAAGACACCAAAAAGGTAAAAACCTGTTGAAAAATTATGCAGTTGCATTTTGGACTTCCGCATTGCAGTTACAGCTTTAATTACTCTTTTTTTTATATAACGAGTTTCGTTTTTTATGATTACA